CATGTTCTTCTGCATGCTGATGCAAACTTGTTTCTGTTAGTAAAACGTCAGGAACAAAGATAATTTCCTGGTCATGGTAATACAGAGTGAATTTGTCCTCACAGATTTGCTGACACAGGCAAAATATTATGACATCTGGAATTTTTCTTTGTCAAACACCTACTTAACAAGCTTTGATATTGTCATTCCTTTCATTCTTTATAATGTAACTCCCTTCTTAATTGTGTAATCTGTGTTTCATTCCAAAATGTGTGTATAGGTACATGTATGTATCCTATGTAAGGGAATCAAGCATAATAATGACATGCACCCTTGAGTGTTGTTTTCCTTTTTTTTTTTTTTTTTCCCTCTACAAGCTTACAAACTATGTTAATAACTTATTGGGCATATTATGACCATTGTGTTCCCACACAATGAATCTTTGTTGGAGTTGACACATAAATGAAAATTCTTTTCCATCAGGAATTAAACTGACAGGGAAGAAAATTCATGTGTTGAGACAGATTGATTACATGTTTATAAATCAGCTATTCTTTCTCCATGACCTTGCTTGAATAGAGTGGATAGAGGATTGAAATAATTAGAGGACATTGATAGCCTTAAACTTTGATCACCATTTTCTTAAAGATTTCTTACTATGAAAAGATTTCTGATATACTATACATCGTAGAAGGGCTCAATAGTACACTGGATACACTTTCCACGTGCCTTAATGATGTTCAAATTTTTAATCTTGGCCTATGATCTTTGATAACTATTGTTTCAAATTGTGAGTGTCAAATATACAAGAACTGTTGATTTTCATGTGCTATGTTTCTTAATTTATTTTTAAAATAATCTTTTGTTGAAGAATGTTTCAAAGTTTTTCAATTGTTCTTTGGTTTGGTGGATTATGCTCATAACAGATTTTCTGACAAGAGGTTTCAAAGGCTTATACGCTATTAAATAAGATGCTTAAAAATTTTTTGTAGTACAATTTTGTTCTTCATATGATAAAAACCTTGTTATCCCTGGAAACCTTTGGAAAGCAATCACATGATTGACACATGCCTTGGACTTGGTCCCAAATATTTTTTCTTGCAATTAAGAATTGTTCTGGTGTAACTTATTTTTTATGATGTTCTATTGTATGTCTTTCACAAGTTAAAGGAAATGTCCAAAAACTTAATAAACATTCATGTATGTCAAGATTCAGTTCACTGTCTTACTCACTTTGACAAGTTTTTTTCCAATGTCACTGAAAAAGTGAAAATGAAACTTGGCTCAGTGGGGTACAGTGAGTTTCACAGCGAGGTTTATTTGAAGACTTGACTACATATTAAATGATACAGTTGTAACAGCTGACTTGAGCATACATCAAGAGAACCAATGAGGCCCTGCTTTACCTTAACTTGCGTGGCTGTGAATCAAGAAATGTTTTAAATGTTGGTCAAATGTAATGCATTGGAGTACTTTTTAATGAGATCAAGTACAGGCATGTTCTTTGGAAGTGCTTTGTCTTAATTCACTGATGATCAGACTCTGTTTGCACGCAACTGCATCATGAAAGATGAATAGCTAATTGGAATCCTGTTATGTTGCAACTGTAAATTTCTTTATTTAATTATTTTAAAATACTGTGCAGTTCACTTTTATACATACTGTTTACAACACATACCAATGTCCAATACAGTCAGTTGAGCATTGGTCTTTCTCAGGATGTCAACATTAATTTTGTTTGTTAGTCTCTTTTAATACCTTTATCAGAAACAGTCTGGGTTTTTTTAATGTTAATCTATTTTCCAGAAATATTTGTGGATGGCAGTATTGTAATCACACATGCGCATGTTCCTAGCTTAAGAAAGTTCCTCCACCTTTTTGGTCAAAATGTTAATGACATTTCTTTAATCCTTTTTCTGAATTGTCATTTCAGGTACACATGCAAAAAAATTTTTTTGCATGTAACCAAAACTGATATGAACCCATTTAGCTTGCTAATGTTTTTAGATGTTCTGTATAATTTGGAAGGTCATAGTTATTATGAAAAATATTACATTTCTTTGATATTAAATATTGTGCAGTTGAATTCATTCAATTAATTTATGATGGAAGAGGCATGGTCTTTTTCAGATATTCTTTTAGGTTAATCTCATAAGTTGAAAGGAGTTGGTGAAAGGTCTCAGCATTTCATGTTCCTTTGCAATATTAACTTGAATATTGTAAAGCACCTGTACCATTCTTGTTGTCAATCATTTTTGTACTGTTGATTATAAAACAGCTGGTTTATCATCATGAACCAATCAAGGGAATTCCTATTTCTGAGGTTAATGTAAACATGTCAGTTACCCATCGTTTTCATGTAAAAACTGTGAAGAAATGTCCAGAGCTTTTTATGGCAATTTAAATTCGAGTTAAAAAGGTTTTGTTTAGAAATTGAAAACATGCAAATGCATGGAATGGTGAATTGTCCAAAGTGAACCTTCATTTTTGGTTTTATTGTTCCATGGGTATAGAAATGTGTACAGGTTCTGGGTCTTTCAAAGATGTTTGTGACTAATTAAGGTTTGGTTTGGAATAACAATTAACGTCAAGAATCACTGGCTTGTGAGGTGAAATATTTTAATTTTATTTATTTTTCAGCTGACAGGACCCTGGCTAATTAACATTTAAATGTCAAGTTAACCCTATCATGATATTCCATTTTTCCTTACATTTGATTAAAACTTGAGTAATACTTTGTTGGAAAAAAAAAACAGCAGTTTCAACTGCAGTTTTGTAGAGTGTTACTTTATAAGCAAAGATTGCTTGTGGTTAAAAGCCAGCATGATAGGTGTAAAAAATATTTGTTGATAATAATTCATCCACCCTTCTATGATGTAGCAGCTGCTTTCTCTTTTGTTTGGATTTTTTTATTTCCATTGTCTTTTGAAGTGGTTGCTATGACACCAGTTTTGTAAGGAGTCTCTTTGGCACCTCTTTTAAAGGAAATTCAAATGTCTAAATAAACCTGCTTTAAGTTGTATTGAAACAGGAATAATCATAATTTATTACTTTTTGAAACATTTCATAAATTTTGTCTTCTAAAGACGGAAATCATACCAAAACCCAAACTACATGTCAGAAAGAAAACACAAACAAGAAATAAACAAATTTAAACCAAATTCATGGGACGTAGAATTAAATTTAAAAAAATAGAATAATGCTTTGACCTTTTTGTTTCACACTGTTCCTGCATGTAAATGTACATGTATGTTGTTTGTCGGAGCCATTGTCAACATTGTCTCCTAATGCTTTGCTGTAGTTGATGGGACACATGAAGAAAATTACACGTAAACATGTCTACTCAGAAAAGTGGATATATATTATTGTACCATAGTCATATTTGAATAAAAATAGTTCTAAACAGGGAAATAATCGTTAAAGGAAATCACAAGCAAAAGTGCAGATTACATAAAGAATGGTATCGAATCTTAATTAGGTTCTTTAGTGGGTTGTGCACCTCAGAGGAATCATGGTGGGGCCATGCTATTAAGGCCAACCATGCCTGACTGGTGGGCAGTAGAATTAGCATCAGAATGAAAAATTATTCATGGGAACCTATTAACTGCTTGTCACCAATGCCTACATCCTTTTGAAGGTTTCTGATCCAGAATGACATTTTACCTGATGGGCCAAATATAGGCCTGTCTATCTTGCCCTAAGCAAACTAGTTATGGGAGTTGTTTGTTTAATTTTTATCTTTTAGGTGCACAGGTAGGGTTCCTGTTTCCTCTCTTTTTTTGTAAGTTTTGCTTAAGTTTGGTTTTCTGAATTTATTTTTATGACCATTATTACAATCTTAAACAAAGGAAGATGAGAAATTGACTGAAATCGTTCAGAAAAGTTTTTCAAAGCAAGTTAAAAATTTGATCTGCAAGCCCAGAGTGTTTGGCTTGAGCTCATGTCAGTGGTGTTGTTAACCTTGTTTATTGGATTACCTAAGTTGTCGTAATACTTGAATATGATTTCATTGTTGAAAGATACAGCATGGCTGTTTGTCTGTGTGATAACACATGAATTGCTCTCAAAACTTATTTGCTTAAGAGTTAGATGTGTCTGCTGTCATAATCACACCCTGCAATTAGTAGCTGAAGACTTGGCTGAAGAGTTGTTAAGAGTTCCACTATTACACCAATTGCCTCCTCCCTCCTAATAACAAGAAACATATTTATTGAAATACGGGGACGGGGGGGGGCAGTGTTGATCATCAGGTATTTAATTTTATTGACAGCACTATGTTAAGGGTGTCCATGCATGCTTTTTGAAAGAGTTGATAGTGTGACTGACCTAGAATTAAACATTTCATGCCCACTGGTCTGAAACAGTGAGCTCAAACAAACCTGTTAGGGGGGTTGATGCTTGGTAAGGAATCTTAGCGCTGTGTGTAGAATTTTTTTAAAGATTTTAAATAGTTTGTGTCAGGTTTTGTTTGTGGACTAGGGGCTGTAAGTAGTTACATGTTTATGTTAATGGGAGGGGTTGGTTTTTGTGTACAGGTGGTTGTCATGTTCCATGTACCTGCATTGGTTTGACTTGTTCTTATTGTCAGTCATCAGTTTTGAAAAAGCCTCAATTTGCACATGGGCACACAGGCTTCTGGTTATTAAATCTTAATGATGTGTCTAGCACTTGGTTCAATACTTGAAATGCATGTGCAGGGAAAATAAATTGCTGTTATTAACACCTAAAAGCATAAAATTTTTAAAATGGCATTTTCTTGGTGGTAATTTTTGCATAAATGGTAACTTTTTGTCTAAAATCCAGGTTACTCTCTATTATAAATTTTCTCAGATGCTAAAATTGAAACTGTTAAATAAGTAATGACTGAAACCCTTAAAACATAAAATTTTTAAACCTAACCAAGTGTTCTCATTACTCTGTTAGCTCTATCCCAAAGCTCATAACACTGAGGTGTTTTAACAAGTTTTGGTTACACTGAAGACTCGCAACTCTGTGGTATTTTTGGAAACTCTTGTGTCAGTATGGGGGATTTCCCTCTAAATGGTTTGGGGGACTTCACTGGCAAAAGCATGGGTGACTTGGATGATGGACTTTTCTATGGAACAGCAACAGCCCAGAGTCAACCATTGGATAACCAACACCTCAACCAGAACAGTAAATGGACCTTTTTTTACTTGACATATTTTAATCTTGATTAATTTTGAACTTTTTAATATTAACTTAAAATGTCTTGAATCCAACTACTGTTAATATGACTCTCGTCAAGAGCTGCATTTAAACTCCTTAACATGAATATAGTCAAGTTACAATCAACACCACTATATTTAACAAGATGTTTTTTTGTTTGGCTAAAACATTGTCAGAAAATTGCTATTATTTTGACATAGACCAAAGTTTTTTTTGCACCCAGGCATGTGGTCAAAGTGGGCTTTCAGTTCACAGCAATTTTCTTATAAATTAAAGTGGGTAGAACATCAAAAAAAGCCTCTGTGAGAATTAAATTGAGCTTGTTTTGGTGGGTGAATTGAACCTTGGTAACAGTTTACTGACACCAGTTGACTTAACATATATCCTACAGACAAATTGATAAAGATAACCATTACATTAAGCACAGGAAATTATAGAAATGTAGTTTTAAGGATTATATAAAAGGTGCAATGAAAAGGTTTTAAACAATTATAATCATTTGTATAAGGGTTTTGTCAATTAGGTTGACTGTAGTTTTTACACTGATTTTCCTGAATGAGCGGCTTATGGGTTGGATTAGAAAACAGGCTGCATTCACAAAGGTGTATTTACCAATTTCATTGTTCTCTTTACTGTTTCTTTGGTGTATAAATCGCATGTAAATTGTACAACTGTGCGTCGTAATTTGAGCTGAAATAGTGGTATTTAGAGCAGCTTTTGTTTCCAGTTTTGCTCTTTATGAGAAGTGATACGGTTGATAGGTTTACTCCATAGGAAGAAGATGTTTTGAGTGGAGCCCAGGAGAGTCTTTGTTTGTATGAAAAAGTTATCAAACAGAGAGGCTGCTTTCTTCAAGGACCACAGAGCAGTTTTCTTGAGGAGTGTGAATTGGGTCCTGTGGGAGAGCACTACTGTTTTCTTAATTAATTCATCTTTTCAAAAGAGGTACATGTGGAAGTCTATGTGGTGGACCAAAGACAAGTATTGAATGGGGATGGAAGACAATGGAATTGCTTGTGGTCTTTGAATAATTAAGCTCCACTATTGAGTTGGTGGTAACAAAGACCATGCAATAGCTTGTGCGGTTGGCCTTTTATTTTGACTCTGGTTTCTTTTTCAACTGGCAAGGTTGCGTTGAACAATTGTACAGAATTTAAATATGGCCTCTCAAAAGTGTTTACTTTCTTTTCTGTTGGTATCAGTTCCTCTATGTCTTTGAAAATTTAGCTTATTCAAACATGTTGGAATTAAGCTTTGTTTGCATAATTTTTCACGGGCTGTGAACTCTTAAGTCCTCATGCAAATTTGCCCTGCTTGACAACATACAGCCTGTATATTTGTTGGGGCATGCAGGGTGATTTGTGTAGTAAATTCATAAGGTAGGCATGCGAGTTTTACTTTTGTGTTTTTTACAACTTAATCGTTCAGTTTGTTTCAAAATCTGTGTAGCACACGTTTAAGTAGGTGAGGGTTAGTTTTAGGGAAGAAACTGACCCTGTATACATGATATATTGGCAGATCAGAATCAAAGAAGTCTTTGAAAGATTTTGAACTGTTAGGTTCCATGCTGACTTTGTAGTGTATGTCTAAAGTTGAAAAATTGAAACCAATACTAACATGATGGCCATTTATAAATATTGCCACTGGCAAATTATGTTGAGATTTGGTTGCTAATTATCAACAAAGATTACATGCTTTTTGGATGGGTGTTTAATTACATCTTAAGTTAAGTTCCTTTGTTGGTAATTTGGCATATATAATTATGATGCCACAAGAGGGAAGTGTTGTTTATCAGATCAAAAGGAATTAATCAGAGAACACTGTTTCAATGGTTTTCACACCATTGTTAGCACAAGAAGGACAAAGCAGAGTGTTTGCACTTTCATTTTTTGACTTAATCTCACAGCCCTAGCTAACTGCACAGATTACTTGGAGATTTGTTTAGTACAGTTTGGAAGATATGTTATGAAGGGTAAATGTGTTCAGAATTTGGTAGAATATTTATGTCACTAGGTAGATGAGCATGGCTACTAGTAAGACCCCTCAGAGCAATCTGGGAACATTGCACAGTATACATAATTTAAGTTACTTTGCATGAAGTATACTGTGGTCCACTTTCACAGTAATCTACCTGTTCTGAGGCCAGTCACTCAAAGGGTGGACAATGCTATCCAATAGTTTAATTACTGTCTAGTGGAGAAGTTTTTAGAAAGGGTTTTGTGCTATTCAGTGGAAATAAATGTATCTTTTGGAAGGCATTATCTACCCTACGAGCAACTGGGTCGTGGAGGGTAGAACTGATAAAGCCCTTGTGTGCAGCACTCAGAAGTAGACAGGGTCATGGTATTTCCATTTGTGTTTTTGAAACTCCCAGTAAGCTCTGCGTATTCCTAGAAGTGACTGGGCTCAGGTATGCTTTCTGCCACTTGAGGGAGTCCAGTATGAAATACAGTAAAAAGTGTTAGGTTTAAACTCTGATGGATCAGTGTTAGTGATACTCCTGCATGCATATTAGCAGAACTAGTAGAAGCTCCTCCTGACAGTTACCCTAAGGTGGAAAAGATAATTCATTATCACATCCTCTGTGGACCATAATTTAAGAATATCTTTAAGTTGTTAATACTGTGATTATAAGAAAATCATATTTTCTGTAGGTGCTGGAATGAGCCTGAGCATGGAACGGCACATTCAACAAACTAATGAAAGACTCCAGTGTATAAAACAGCACCTGTCCTCTCCACAAGGATTTCAGACTTCTGCAAGAGAACTTCTGGAATGGTGTGGGGATGTACGTGCTTTTCAACGAGCATTTGAAAGCAACTTGATGGGATGTCTCACGGTAGGCATTGTTTTATCAGTTTGGTTGTACAAACTGGATAGTCAATCTTGCAGTTGTAATAATTAAGCCTTGTCCTTGAGGCATGAAGGTGTGAACTCATGAAAAAGTGGTACCTGTAGGCATTAGCCTATATTTGGTGAAAAACCATCTTTGTATATTTGTCGCTTGATATTACCTGTTCTGAGGAAGGAAGAGTTTTGCAAGAGCAAGGCTCAGGGAAAACTGTGAAATTTGAGGAACAGATAATGTCCAAGAACAAGCATATTTTTTGTGCCATATTTGCTTATTTTCTTTCAAAATTTTTTGTTTTATATGGAGAAAAAAATGTTTGAATAGCTAACTGTTTACTTTGTTGGAAGTTCACCCTTTGTGTGGTTTCTGGTGCAATTTGATAAACAATGAAATTTGTGCCTACTGTAGAAACAGCAAAATGCTCTCTTGTTGAATGGAATTTTAAATGAAAGCTTTAATTGTACTCCACACAGGATTTAAAATTTGGAAAATATTAATTAGAGAATATTCCAGGATAAAGATATGTTTTAGCTGGGGCAGATTTGTCCACGTGATGCATTTAGACCAATTGCAGGAGAGCAAAAATGTGTCAGTGATGGATTGTAAATTAGGATTTTGAGTTTAAGTTTCAAGTTTTCTAATTAGATGTGCTATACTTGTCTAGCTAAATCTATATTGTACAGATTGTTTATGTACCAAAACTTTGCAATTTACTGTTGTGTAGGTTGTGAGTCAAGTTGCAGCCAATCCAGGTTATGATTTGGATTTAGGTATGTGCACCAGTTTTGCTTCCTTCGTATTCCTCTGTTTAACAACACTGATAATTCTGCATTGACCAATTGCAGGGGATATTAGGATGATTGGATTATTTAACATTTCTGAAGAGTGATTTATCTTAAGTACTAATCTGGATAGCTTATTTTCCATTCTGCATACTCTTGCTTTTAATGAGCCATTCTATTTAATTTATACAACTGATTACAGGATAAGTTTCATATACAGTTCTTAACCCACCAAAAGAGTGAGTTTGTCTAGAAGGACTCTAAATAATCAGTTAAATACTGACCATAGATACACCTGGAACATAAAGTTTCTTAGTGTTGTGCATAAATTCAGACACAAAAATTCTAATTTCAATCACATTAACCAAAAGCCTCTGACAAATTAAAGTGGTTTCATGGCATGGAGATGTGCATTTCAAGATTGACCACAAATCTACTTTGTGAAGTCTTATAAATTTCCATTTTTTTAGGTTACCGACTCCTGGCTGTTTGTGCTGCACACAGAGACAAGTTCACCACAAAGTCAGCTGGTAGGTACCTCCATCTTTATCATTAAATATACTTTGTGACACCTTAGGATAAAACACGAATAATGGTTGTAAAGTATTTTTAAAGCCAAGGAAACTGAAATTTCAATGGAAAGTGAGGTATTATTGAATAAAGAGCACTATGACTCATTTGTTTTGTCAGTCTATATTGTTTTGTTGAGGCACTTGTATGAATATTCCTTGCTACAATTTTTTATGGGGAAAAGGAAGCTTTTAGTGGAAAAAGAAAGGTTGTTGTAGGGCTACTGTTGGCAAATTTAGTATTTATTTTATAAGGAAAATTCTCTTTTCTAAGATTCATTTTGGGAAAGAGTCAGAGATTTTTAGTAAGTGACAATGCCAAGCAATGTTTTAAAACTTATGATTCTGGTGTGTAATATTTAAAAAAAAGAACATTAAAAAAATCAGATGAGATTATTGAGCTTGTTATCCGTGTACCAGTGATGGCCAAGTTTTGTTGTGCATGCACGACTGGCTCATGATGCAATATCTTATGATATAAAATGTGATGCACACAAATGAATTTGTTAAGAGCTGTGAACGTTAAAATTTGGTTTGTGTTTGTTGAGGGATTAAGGTAGCAGTTGCTAGGTGGAAAGTTAAACTCCTTTGTGTAGGATTAGTATATTAAACAAGTGTGGTGAAGGTGGGCTGGTGTGGGAACAAGGTCATAAATTTGCGGGTGGGAAGACTGAAAGAACATGCAATCATTTCTTGGAGTTTTGTGATGGGTTTAGAGTCAAAAAATAAAACTAAGGTGCAGGTTCTGAAGCACAGTGTCAGTGTACTTGACTATGAGATTAGGCTCACTTTTACACTGAAATTATCTGGTGGACATAATCTTGCATGTTCAGTTTTACTTCTTGCAAAATATTTTCCCGTGTTGTATTGTGAAGGTGACTAAACCTTTGAAATCACAATGGTAATGTTGACTTCATCAACAAAAACTGTCAAGAAATATTGTCATGGAAGTGTCTTCTTCTTCTTTTTTTTTTTTTTTAACATAAGATGTCAAACTTGAGTAATATTCACAGCTGTGAAAACCAAAGCAGTATTTTATACATGAGCTGTTTTTGTTTTCTTGTTTGATGTTAAATGGATCAAAGTACTGGTTGTTCATAAAGAAAACTATTGAAATGAACACTTAATTAGCCAAAAATGGCATTATTTATATTTGCCCTCTGCAGATTCCCAACCTAATATTGCTACATTGTATTGATCATGTGTTATTCTCAGCGATGTTAGGTGTTTGGTGTGAAGATCTCGGCAGACTTCTCTTACTTCGGCATCAAAAGCAGAGAAATGTTGATACTCAGAAGACAGCAGGCTACCCCACAGCACCAGGAAACAAGCTTGCTCAGATGAATCAGTTGAACCCAATGAATCAATTAAGTCAGCTCTCAAACAAGTAAGTCACTTGTTGGGTTTTTTAAAACTAATTTTTTGTGTAGTCTTGCACTTTGAAGTGTTAGATTGTTCTTGTGTTAATTAACATCATAACTGAGTATTTTAACCTTCTGTTTGCTTACCGTGCCACTTCCTTTTGCTGTTGCTGATCCTCGAGGGCTGCTAATAAATGCTTGTTGGTCTCCTGCCTTAAAACAGTAGCAATTAAACCAGCTTTGAACACATGGTCTAGTTTACCTGAATTAATTACTGTGGATTTGTTTTGAATTCATTAGGCATCAGCTTGAAATCTCTTGGCAAGAGAATATTCAACAGGTTTTGTGGTGTTCTCTTAGTTTCCTTTGCTAAAATGATGATCTGAGAAACAAATTGATTTTAAGCTTATGAACTTAAAGAATTTGGGTTTACAACTTCTGCTCCTGTGGAAACTATTGCCACAGAAATTTACATTTTTGTAGATAATGTCCCTAGAGATTAGTCACTGCATTTGATATCCCTGCATAAGAAATCTCTCTTACCTCAAATTTTTTTTAGAAACCAAGAATTTTGCTCCAATTATTAGTAATTTAACTGTTTGCCAATTAATAAAGTAACCATGCAGTAAATTTGATTTTGTGTGATAAGGCTTAACTACTAGACTCAGTGTGTCGCAATAATAAGTTGAAAAGACCAATATTTTTACACCTTTTTTAATTTTAGATATTATGAAAATTCAGAAGTGATTTCTAGAGTTTTCGGAAGTTAATACTGATATTGATTAAAAAAGGCTTGATTACTTGAGGTCTAAACATCCTTTTTCTATTAACATGGTTATAAAGAACACTGGGTATACTGCCCTTGCGATTTTTTTTTTATCTCAGAAGGCTGTAACTGTTTAATGCCTCGACAGTCATGAGATCCCCTATAGTGTCCTGCTTGTTTTCCATGAGGAGAATAAGAGCCCTCTATGTTCATTTAAACTTTGCAAATATCTAAGCACTGAATGGTTCATTGTGATTTTGTTCTGAATCAGTGATGTTGTGCAAGAGGAATTGTTTGAGCAGCTAATTTCCTGTTATCAGCACATCAATTGAATATCACTGGCCAGGGGCAATATTTTATTCAAGATGTGTTCTCAGTATGTACTTACTAGGATAAGACAATTGTCCTTAGGTCAGTTCCCACACGTAAGCAATTGACCCAAGGCATAGATATTTGACAATGGTGCTTAATACGTAACTCTTATATTACAGTGATGCATCGACTGTCATGTGGCCACAGAGTACTCAAGGTCATGGCCAACAGCAGCCGTCACTATCTGTGGTGACAACAGTTTGGGGTGTCACGTCCCCAATGACTAATGGAACAGCAAACATGACACATGATCCAACCAATCCAGGAATTCCCACCACAAACACAGTTAATTCTGTGGGACATCCCTACCTCTCAACTTCTGCAAATCCAAAGCAATATGCACAATCAGGTCAGAATGAAATTGTGTTTTCTTTATGTATACTAAGAAATTAATCAATACTGATACCTTCCTAAATATTATGAGGCTTTTGGGGGATATGTCGTCAAATGTTAAGGTTTTCAATTGGTTTTATTCACTCTGTTTAGTGATGGTGTACGATATCAAATTCATTTCAAGTGGCTATGTTCAGTTTAATTGCATGTACCTTTTCAATATCATGCTTGTGGCAGTGAATGTTTAAAGGTAGAATCATTACTATCCACTGAATGAATTTAATCTCTATTAGATAACAGTTAGGGAGATATTGCATTCTGTAGGGGATAGCAAGTGATCTTCAGTATTATGACTCAGTAACTCCCAAACTTGCTTTAAAATGAATTCTTTTAAACACAAAATTAAGGCTTTCAATAAGAGTCAGGGTAGGAAAAATGTTTAAGAGTCAGGGTAGGAAAAATGTTTAAGAGTAAGTAGAGAACTGAGTATGTGTTCCTAAGAAACAAATAAATAAATTAAATTGCTGCCATGCACTTTCAAACAGAATTAGAGCAAGTTCCTCATTTGCTTTTTCATGAATTGATCTTGGCTCATTTTAAGCTTGTACTTTGTGATTACAGTTTGGTACTAGATTTAAACTTTGGGGTAATACTTCAACCTAAAAAGGTGGTGGAAGCTTGTCAAATAGCCAGCAGAATTCACAGGCCAACTGCCCTAATAGAAAACCTTGCAAACTTTCAAACTATCCTGTGAAAGTGTTACCAAATACTAAACTTACAAAGTTGTTACTTGACTGGACATGACAGCACAAGGAAATGCATGGAAGCTTTAAATGAGGTTAACCAATCAGAGCTTGATTGTATGGTTTGATTTAAAGGCAGCCCATATTTTTTTCCCAATTTCACTTTGAAGTTGTGCATTACCACTCAACTCTAGCTTTACCTCTTCAGCTCAAGAAGAAGCGGGTAATGTGCTGAAAAACATTTGTAGCAACTAAATGTATTGAAGGATAATGTAAAATTTCTTTGTTATCTGTCTGTAAAAAGGGGGTTACCCAGCAAGACCAGGAAGCAGGCTTCCTCAAGAGACAACACAGCCTGTAGCACAGAACTACATGCAGCGGCAAAACAGCTTCCCTGCCACAGGAAGCACACCCAGTGTTCCTCCTGGAAGTAATAATTATTACTCACAGCAAAATGCTGGTCCACCTAATGCATCACCCTTTCCACAGCCTGCTGCCAACCCAGCTGCTGCTGCGGCTGCAGCTGCTGTTGCTGCAGCAGCTGCTACAGCGACGGCAACAGCCACAGCAACTGCCACAGCTGCACTTCAAGATCAGCAACAAATGGGTAAGTGAAGAAAAAAGAAAACAGAAAACTCAAATTTGATCCTCTAGGGTAACAAAGCTGTAATATAGTAACATATGGGGCAGGAATGGAAGTGATTTTGCCACAGGCCAGAAAAGTTTTGCCATTTTGCCAGCATACTCAGAGACTCAGAAGTTTTAATTTGTTGGAGTATATATAGTGCCTACAGCATTACACTCTTTGAAAGTTTGATGGGCAATTTTTGAAGGAAGCCTTTACTTAAGATGTTTCTTTTGGGTTTGGTGTTAGCCATTCCACCATGAATTTCCCCTTGACTGATTTTTACAAGTCATTTGAAGATCTGTGTTTGTAATGATCACAGATGTATTGAGAATATCCTTAAGGAGGTTCTGATAAAGTGTTGCTTATAAATTTCTACATACACTCTGCTTTTCCTAGTTTTTAATGAATTTGGGATCCTCTTTGCATTTTCTCTACAGATTATGGTTTCCCTCCAGGGCAGAGCCAATATGGTCCCAACCAAGCCAGCCACCCGCAACACCCTCCCCCACCATATCAGCGCAGCAACTTCCCCCAATATCCACAGCCATTTGGACAACAGCAGCAGCAACAACCTGGTGCCCAGCAGGGTATGCAGAAACCCAACTCTGGGATCAGCCGCACTCAATATTTACAGGATTACATGATGAGAAAACAACAACAGCAGCAACAACAGCAATTGCAACAACAACAGCAAATGCAACAACATTACAAGCAGCAGTATGCTGGACAATATGGGGTAAGGTGTACTCTTTTTTACTTTTTGTTCTAATGCTTTGGATGATGAAATTTAGCTAACTTCATACCTCTTAACCATTATGTCACCTACACACTTTTGACTACCATAAATAATTTAGCTTTAGAAGTGTCCTTGGGTATAACATACAAGGTGAGTTGGCATAGAAAATGCCCCTTTAAATTTTTGTGGTGATGAAGCTGCTCTTTGTATAACTATACCATCTCATGAGAAATAGCATATTAAATTAAATCATCATAAAGGTTTTGCAAGTTTTCACTTGTGAATGTTTGATAGCAAATGTCAAATGATATTTTAAATGTTTGTTTATTCATCATTCCATGATGTATAAAATAAGTACATGCAGCCTTTCCATCTCCTTGATTGCCCCTTAAACCATTTTTTTTTTTTTGGTGTGGGATTACTGTGTAATTGTTCAGTTTTGAAGTTCAGTGGACCAATAGGGTGGAGTCATAGGCAAAAAGTAGTTAGAAAGTGCTAACCCCCTGTATGACTGTTATTCTTTTGTGCAATAAAGCCATCATGTGGTTTTTGTGTTCAATAAATTTTTTTTCCTTTTCAGCAACAGGGTGGCTATCAGATGCCTTCTTCATATCAAGCACAGGCTGGTTATCAACAACAACCAACACCTCCTCCACCCTATACACCAAGTATGAGCCCCATGTCACAGATGAACCAACAGATGGGACACATGATGCAGCCAAACTCAGTCAACCAATCAATGGGGCAGATAAACCAGCCAGTTGGACCACAGATAGGCCCGCAGATGCCACCAATAGGTCCATTAAACCAGATGTCTCAAATGAGTCCCATGAGTCAAATGCCACAAGTGCCACAAGGTCCTCAGCTGCCATCAGTGGGGCAGATACCCCAACCAGGAATGTATGGCCCTCATCTGCCGCAACAGGGGCCACGACCCATGCAGAGACGACGCAAGAGTACACCCCAGTATCCTAATGCTACAATGGCAAATGCAATGTCACCGCCAGTCACACCAGGGGCAATGCCAAGCCCTTACATGAGTATCAGTGATGCTGCCCTGAATCCATCCAACTGTTATGACATCAAACCCCAAGTGGTTCCTAACACTGCTTCACCACAAGCTTATGAGGATGTCAAGCCCACAAGGTTGAATAGTAAGTGAGATAAGTCCTATATTTATTTTCTTCTTTTTACAAATCGATCACCATTGAATTGTGTGTATGTTGTTGAATATCACCATTTCAGAGTCCCAGAGCCACTGGCAGTTCTTTGTAGGCTTTTACAAATATTATCACAAATAACAACATTTGTTTTAGTTAAGCAACTGGCAGTCCTTCCTAGGCTTCTACAAATATTATCGCAAATAACATCATTCCTTTTAGTTTAGAACAATAATTTTTAACAGACCTTTTTAGCTGTGCAGACAGTTGCAAGGTACATTTGTGCAAAGTTGGCTGAATTGCGGTCATACTATTTTGCAATGAACTTTTGAATACTCCCTGTTGCATATTGTCTTGGTATTGTGGGTTACACATACTCTGTAGATGTCCACTGGCACTTATTTGTAATCAGCTGTAGGGCTTTGATACAAATACCATTAGCTTTAAATTTGTCATTCCTTCTTTAGGAGCTGACTTTATTAGAGTAACATAGATCAGTCTGTTTAACACAGTTTTTTATGTATTCCTCTCTGTCATTATTAGGTGAAAACGATGTCATAAGATTGACATTTCCTGTAAGAGATGGCATAGTCCTTGCTCCCTTTAGACTGGAGCATAATCTGGCAGTCAGTAATCATGTGTTCCATCTCAGGGACTCGGTCCATCAGACACTAATGATGAGGTAACGTTTCATTTTTAATTATTTACTTTTTATCCTCTTTGACCCTCTTTTGACTTCCAGGAGGAACCAGTGTTTTATTTTCTTCAAATATAGAATTACCAGGGACAATGTCAAGCAAATAAATAAATTAAAAATTTGACTAAGGAGTAGAATCTTTAACTATGGTGTAGCATGGAATTTTTTAGGACTTCTATTTTGTGGATTAGCCATTTTTTTCCTTTTGTTTAAAGGGGAAAAAGTTTTGGGATTGAGATTAATTAAATTTTTGTTGGAAAGTTATTTTTACTATTTTTTGATCAAGCATCAAAACACTTCTAGGGAAATGAGTCATGTTTTCACCTTTTTTTTGAGGGGGGAGTGGGGTGGGTGGGGGAAACTAAATTCTGTAGGGACATGTTTTTGTAGATCAAGGGCTATCCTTTAAATAAAAACCAGAAATATTTTCATTATATATTGTGGGGCAGATTTAGCATTTAGATCATGAGACTTAAAGTGTTAAAAGGGCTCACAAAGTCGTTATTCTAGGAATTATGTGCAAGGCATGGGAAACAAGGAACAGTGGGTGTTTTATATAGAACTTGAGGGTCTTTCTTAAGAAGAAGTTAAATGTGCAAGAGTGTAAAAATTTGAGAACAAATTTTTCCTTTCCAGACCTGATCTTGAGCTTCAGTTCAAATGCTACCACCATGAAGATAAACAGATGTATACAAATTGGCCACAGTCTGTGACTGTCAGTGTGAATGCCAACCCTCTTATTATTGAAAGGGTGCGTCAAAATCAGGAGTTATATTTTATTTTTTTTTAATATGTTACTAATGTGTTGCTGAAATAACCATTCCATATAGATGTGTCTTTGTTGGTTTATTGATTAACTAAAACCCAGTAGACCCTTGTATGAATGTGTTGTTGGTGTTAAACTAGCAATTTGATAAATATATATTTTTGAATTTATTTATTTATTTTGTTACAGCAAGGGGACAATAAAACTTCGCATAAACCTCTTCATTTGAAGAATGTTTGTAAACCAGGAAGGAACACAATACAGATTACAGTCACAGCTTGCTGCTGTGTAAGTAACATCAACATTTCGATCATTTGGTATTCTTTTTCATATGATAAGCATTATTATTTACGAAACTTGTTTTTAATGTTTATCCTTTCAGTCCCACCTCTTCGTTCTTCAGTTGGTCCACAGACCTTCCGTAAGCTCAGTTTTACAAAGCTTGTTACGTAAAAGACTTCTTCCAGCAGAACACTGTATCACAAAAAGTGAGTATTGCAAATACTTGCTTCTGTACCTGATGTTTGTTTTGTAGAGCTTGTAACTGGTTTCCAGAGCTAAAAGGCTTGCATCAGGCATTGTATTCTTTTTCAAGTACCACGCATTCATTGCTAATTCAGATATGATCCTCTTTGATTCACAGTTAAAAGGAATTTCTCGTTCAGTTCTTCTGCTGCTGGCGGCACAGACGACAGTGTAGAGCAAACAGCTATCAAAGTATCGCTTAAATGCCCCATCACATTCAGAAGGATAACGTTACCAGCCAGAGGCCATGATTGTAAACATATCCAGGTATGTAACTTATACGTATGCTTGGCTTACAGGGTTTTGTTTAACATCTTGAAATCCATCTGATTACATTATGTTTTCCAAGGTAGAATTACAGTAAACAGTTCAGTATGATAAAGTGTGGCAATAGGAACATGGTGTATGCGTGTACATGTACTATTTATCAAATATGAGACCGAACCATTACAAATACCCTGAATCCAAAGTCAAATACCATTTTCTTAGACTTGGAATGTCTGGCTGTCGTCCAGTTTACTGAATTCGCAACTCCAATCTGTTTTTTCCATAGTGTTTTGACTTAGAATCGTATTTAAGGCTCAACTGTGAAAGAGGAAGCTGGAAATGTCCTGTTTGTAGGTGAGTGCTTCAGAAGTAACTGTTATTGTTGGCATTTCTGTTCTTTTTGCGAGAGCTTAAGCTACTTTTAATTTGATGCAAATCGTTGAAAATATTCATGTCATAGAAAGGAAGTTTTACATTGTGATAAAACTCCAGTTGTATCAATTCAGTCGATGGGATTCATGTGCCCGAGTGGTTTCCCCATAGTTATAGATCAGAGGAAGTCGCAAGGCTATTATAAAAGCATTTAAACTGTTTTATTTTATTTTCTACCACCTTTAACTTTCCTCCTGTTTTTTTTTTTTTAACTCTAAACTTAATCTATTTTCAATTTTTTCATTTTTCAGCAAAGTTGCACTTCTTGAAGGACTCGAAGTGGATCAGTTCATGTGGGGCATCCTAACAACGTCCAGGTGGTTGCTATAGTTACCATTTCACAAAAAATTGATCGGCGACGTGCACAGTTTTTAGACAGACAAATTCGAATCTAATGCAGTTAACCAAATGAAAGAATATTATTTATCGTTTTGGAGACTTTTAAATTAAAATCCTCTAGGTAGTTATGATGTTGATAAGACTGCTGTGTTGTTGATCATAGAGCATTCCACATTAACCGTAGCGACTTCTTACTATTTCAGCTCTGATGTGGAAGAAGTAACAATTGATCCAAACAGTCAATGGAAGCCTGTTCCTGTTAAACAGGAACCAAAAGATGACGAATGTCAAGGACCACAGCCGGCTAAGAAGGCTCGACCGTCTCCTCCTGACTCGTTACCGCTCTCTGGTGTCAGGACACCCACATCACAAATGTCCAGCAGTAGTGGACACTACTCGCCTTATCAAACGCAACCACCGTCTAACCCTGGTATGGGTGCACCTACTCCTCCTGGACGGACACCCCCTGAGTCTCACAGCTCATCAGGTGGAAACCAGCTGCAAGAGCATAACGCTAGCAATTCTGCAACGACGCAACCAGCGGCATCTACGCCCAGTGGTGAGTGACTAAGCAGTGTGCTGTCGAGAACAACATTTATTATATACGCTTTTATGGTACTTTGTCTTTAATATTTAACCTCTAAACGCATTATAATTCAAGAGTGTCTTTGTTCTACTTCCTTAGGTGAAAAGATGACACCCAGTCCAGTCACTAGCCAAGCCACGACGCAAAGCAGCAACCACACTCGAGGTCCCGCCACTCCTCAAACTCCAGGGAGTCATACAAATCCAAAAGGTGCTGCTGAAAGAACGCAGCACTCGTCAAGCCTCTCCCAGCCGCCTGTGTCAGGGAATGCTGATAGCATTGCCGCCGACCTCGAACACGACAATCTTCCGGACGATTTTAACTTTGGTGTTCTGGAAGATCATGGCGGAGGAACTGATGGAGTGGAAGGCGCTTTAGACGTAAGTTGATATCCGGGGGGATGTAGATTATTCTTTACATAAACTAATTTTCTTGTTTAATGGACTGTTCATATGACAGTGACAGCTGTGAGCGTAAATCGTTGTTCTGCTCTGAACCTCTCCAAACCTTTGGTTTGGCGTTGGGTTGTTCTGCATGCCTGAAAGCAAGTTATCACTCTAACTGTGTACGTGCGCGCAAAAACGGGTCATTTTCGTCGTTATGTCAGTGCTGCTTGCATGTACGAAGGTCTAAGGATCGGAGGTTAACATTGGCCATGCATCGTATTCTGACGTTGAGTGTGGTTACAATCTTATAGGTTTTACCTGGAACCCTCGACCCAGAAGAGCTTTTCAACTATCTGACGCCGTCCGACCTTCCCAGCGAAGATATCTTGTCCATGTTCGAGTAGCTTTGTCATGGTGATGTCGTTCGCTCACAGGAAAGATTCATGCTAGAAATATTTTACTTTGCTGTACTTGAAAATAGAGCGAATAATTTGTATTGAAGGGGTAGGTTGAAAGACCTCTACGTACTTTTTTTGTATAGTACAAATATTCTCAAGTTTACGTAGTTAAACAAAATTGATTATTGCTATAATACATTACTATTTGGAATGTTTTCTGTTTTTCTAGTGAAGTTTTGTCCTTACTTTTATGTGTAAACTCTTTTCAATTTTCATACTTCCTTTTGTGAGTAACTCTTTTTTTTTCTTATCCATCACTTCGGTTTCGTTTCGTACTATAATCTGATATAAGGAGCAAGGAAAATTTTCTTGGTTGCGGCAGTTTTTTATCCTGGATATCTTGGCGGTTTGTGCTTTTTTTACAGGCTGTGTAGTCAAAGCTATATTAGTGTCGTGGTGTATGTATAGTGATAAGGAAGCTATGATTTGGGTCAAACTCAAGCTGAAAATTTTATCTAACAGAGTACTAAGAAAGAGGGGCCATTTCCGTTGTGAGTCACACAAAGTACTCCACTTTGCACCTTGTACTCCTCAGGTGCGGGTGAAAGACAAAGAGAATTATTAATCATTCCAACATTTGGAATTAGTTCAGTAAATGCTATAATATATGCATAAATAAATTAAATGGGGCATGTAACCCTCATTGTGTACAAGCATAGAAATGAAGTAGAAGTATTCTTTTTCGTTTTAATTAGAGGGATTTATAGGTTTTAGTTACACGTAGGTAGCGCCATGACAGAAGTATTAGAACAAAATGTAGTATTGTGTTAATGAGATTTATCGTAGTAATGATAGCGTTTAGGTATATTATCTAGAAAGGGACACGCATGATACTTGTTTCATAATCTCCTCTGCAGAACATTCCTTCGTGGAATAACGTTGACCAAGTCAGTATTCTTCTTTCTTTCTTTCTGGGATCTCGACTTTTAATTTTTTTTAACTGTCGGTTTTATTATTCACATCAGTCAAGAGTCTTTCGCCTGATGAAATATTTTACCACGTTTTTTTATTGTATTTTTATAAGTACGAGGTACAGCTCAGTATGAGCTTCTCATTTCTGCACTTCAATGTTATCACTCTCCTAAGAAGGACTTGACTTTTGATGACTCGTTGTTGTCAAAATGGAAGATTCAAGCAAAAGATTTGTCTCGAGAAGCGTCTTTTCCTGTCTGGCAGTTAGTACAAATTTCTCGAACTTTTGTGTGCACATTCAAATCTTACTTTCATCAAACGCTTGAGCCATCCAATTTCTTTTCACGTGTGAACATTCAAAAACCTGTTACGAATTTGTCTTCCTTTCAAACCATTTCTGTCCTGCAGTATGAACAGTGACGACTTGTCTTTCACGAATTGGTTGACAGTTTTCCGTCTCTTCTTTTTTTTTCCACATTCTTTTCTGATTCATAATGTTGCAAGAGCTCGAACTTTACTTTCTTTTCCAGTCACAATTTTCTTTTTCCTTTGAAAACTTGCTTCAGATTGTTCGGGTAGCATTTATTTCAGGGAGAATACTTGTAAGCAAATTAATTTATTCAGATTCCAGGTAACATGATGTGTATTCCTTAGCCATTTCTAAGTTCAGAGACAAAATAAAACATGACTAAAAAAGTATTGCAAAGAGAGTCTGGGCGAAGACTGCCGACGGTTTGTGCGCGATTGTTTCCCCCCGTACGACTTTCAGATTTAAGAAGACGTTATTATACGTAGTTGCGCTTTATTTGGTGGCATTTATGTCGTGCTGTACATAAAGTGAACATGTATTTATATATCTATAAATAATGTATATCAAAATATGATCTAGTCTTTGTAAATACTCGTATGGAACGCATATCTGGAAAAATGAGATAGTTGGTTGGTAAAAGCCGCATTTCTGTTACTGTCGTAGTTAGCCTTTAGCCCAAGATGTTTCAAAATGTTAGGGAAAGACTTTAATTTATAGTAGTGCCGTAGTTCGCAGATTTATTTGGATAACACATCAAGTACTGGCTACGAAATGAGCACCACTCCAAAACCCCGTCTGAATCCACCGTAATAAGATTGAAGTGAGTTCGGAAATCTGTTACATATTATTCTCTACTTCTACAAGCGACGCCGGACATTTTATGACGATCGTTTTCAGGGAAAAATGTGTTCAATGTAAGTTCGAGATTATAAGCGAAGTAAATCATTGTCATCTCTCTTGTAGTATCGATAGCATAGTAGATTTTATACCTATTTATAACTTAGAGTGTACAACTACAGTTCTGTAGGAGAGAACAAATTCTTACGAAGAAGGCTACGATAGACTTATTAAAGCCGCCTGTATGTGTAGATATTCTATATCTAAATTTTATAAGAAATAAAGGTCATTCAAGTCTTATTGTTGTTCACTATTGGATTTAGAGTAGTGGATTTTAGTGTAGTTTGGACCCACTGTCGCCCTTTACCCATTACTCCGATGATGTTTCGAAGTAATTTCACTCTGACGAAGGACCACTGTTCGAAACAGCTTTAGAAACTCTTCAAGGTGGCAAATTCTCTACTCAGTTGATTAAACCAGATTATCTTGTAATAGCCCAACCGACGCCTCAAAACAATTTCTTTGGAAACCTACTCTTAATTTATACTTCGATGACTTGATCGGTGTACTATATTTCTCGGGGGATAAGTGAACAGGTTAAAAGTATTAGTTTGTAAGTTGTCTTTACTCGTAAATTACCTCGTGGGTAAAAGATTGAAATTTTATAAATTTATTTGTTAACCTTGTTAAAGGCGCGAGGTCACGATATCGGTTTGATTTTCCCGTCTGAACAATAATTAAACATAGTACTTGGAAATAGGAGTATTTTTGATCGCAACAATTGGAACGGCGGAATTATGGAGTTCTTGCCTCTATCTTATCCTTTTCAATTGTAAGTTTCAACCTTTCAATAGTTATAATCCTGAAGAGGTGCCTCCAGTTATCGAAAAAATAAGCATAGCAGACATAGCCGGTAGCCTGGTCCAATATCAAAGAATTCGTACCCCTTTATTGACGTCATATTAGTTTGCGAATTAAAATTCGAGTGCGGCTTTAGCGGCGGGTGTTTTTAATTAAACTTTCCATAAAAAACCCTAAGTTCTAGCCAAAGCGTGGCTTTGCAAATATTTTCGTAGAAAACATTGCTGAGGGTAAGGAGATGTCTAGGAGAATAAACGTGACTGTGACCGGCTATGGGTCGCAGATCTTTGTGTGGCTCCGGAAGTTAAGGAACGCGTGGGTTCACGTCAAAAACTTGCATCAATGTAGATGAGGTACTTCCGAACACGATTGATTTGACATGAACTTCAAATTAAACGATAAAGAGATAGGCGAGTCTAATTTCATTTCCAGTTTTTCATAAGGAAACATTAGATCACTAATTCTTGTCTTCCTTGTTTTCCAAATCGTTTTTGTTTTTCTTGTGATGTTTCGTGTCCGAACTTGATCATTTTGTTTTCCTTAGCTTAGGAGCAAGCTCCTTATTAGGACTCTGAGTCAGAGAAGGTTTTTTTTGGAAGAAGTGAGGAGTTTTGGTAAGAACCTGGCACTAGTCTCTAATTGGCGGAAAAGTCACCTCACAATCGACTGAGCACGGTTTGACTAGCTGACGTGAACGACGTAAATTTGTTCATCGAAAGATTTATACCATACGTAGATAGTTGTGATTTCTCTTGATTTTACAATGTTCGGTCTTCAGTGTGTTAGTTCTTTAAGAGGCGCATTCGCCAGAAGCAAGAAATGCCTTCCTGCTGTTCAAAATGCTGTTGAAAAGATGTCGACGAGTTCTGATCCCAAAGATCCATCTTTCACTCAAATGTGTGAGGGCTTCTTTGAGAATGCGAGAGTATACGTGGAACACAGGTTATTAACCAAGCCTGATCCACCAGGTTATCGTCCAGAAAAGTTTGAAGACAAGCAACACAGGATAAAAGGTAACAGCTCTCTTGAATTACCACCATCGGCTGAGACTCGTCTTTCAACAAAATTAGATTAAGTCGCTCGACGGAACATTTCAGTGTTATTGTATGGGAGGTTTAAATCAATCGCCATTCGCGTGAACTGTACGATCGTCCAGGGTTAAATCGATTTGTTTTTTGTTGCTCATCTGAACCACAGCTTGGCGAGACTGGTGGATAATTGTCGGTAGATCTTTACCAGCTCGTGAAATGTGACCTCAGCCCCCATGAACTCTTACTTTCACATTTGACATTCGCACGTAATTTTGAAAAATTTTAGACTAGAGAGTGAGGCATCAAGTTTTGAAGTCTAATTTCAGTATTTTAAGCTTAGATCCGATAAACGAAATTCTTATACTTCAGCTAAAATTAATATTCAACCGGTTCTCGAAGCTTTTGTGACATTGCATTCACGCCCCCGACCATCCTCCGTTTTCTCCAAATATGGGCATGCTGTTGTGTTCGAATCATGATGGTTTAAGCAAAACTTTTGTGTTGATAAAAAATAGTGATTTCACCATGATTATAGTGTTATAGCCTTAAATAAATGAACAGTCACATTCAGTAAGTGATTTGAAATACTTTGGTGTGTGCTCTCCCAAATGAGCTTGATGTCTTCCAGCTGATTATATTACTACTAATGTCAAAACTTGAAAAAAAAAAACACTGGTAAAATTTCCACACAGCCCCATACTAAATTATGTATTCAGTTCTTGGATAGAGAAAACAATGACAAAAACAATACATTGCTACTGGGAAAACAGATTTGTTTTACAATAGTATGGGGCTGTGTGGAAATTTTACCAAAAAATACTTGACAGCTTAAGAATAAAGAATAATGACTTTATTGGATAATACAATTACTGGTAAAACCAGTAGTTCTCATTGTGGTCCTCTAAAACTTCAAATTCAAATAGCAAAAATATGAAGTAAAAATACAGTTAAAAATCAAAAATTAATTAAAGATTTCTGCTTATAGTAAAATTATCAACTCTGGAGTTCTGATCTATATATTTCTTGTATAGTTGATTTTTAAATTTACAAAAGGAAGTGAGACTCCTAGTGGCACTGTCTTGGTTGTTCCATAATCTAGTGCCACTTGCAAGGAATGAACGTTTGCCAGTCATAGTGCTAAAGAAAGGTGTGGATAAGTCCATATTAGTTGATGCCCGAGTTGTGCAACAATGTCTATTTTTAACATAACAAATATAATGATTAAAGTAATCAGGACATTTCCCATAGATAATTTTATGCATAATACACAATTTCCTTTGCTCTATTATGTCACTAATGGGAATCCAACCTAATCTCTTCAAAAGGCCAACTGATCTTTCAGTGCTTGCATTTAAAATTACTCTGGCACAACATTTTTGAATTATAGGGAGCCTTTGTAAATTATCAATCCTAGTGTTTCCCCACACTGAACAACAATATTCAAAGATTGGTGTAATCAAAGCATTGTATAGCTAATTCCTAAGTGATAAATTCAGGTACTTTCTGGCTCTTTTAAGAAGATTTTACCCTAGAATTTAATTTAGTGATCATGTAATCTATATGGCTATTTCAATTAAGATGCTTGTCTATCTTCACACCAAGCAACTTTTTGTTTACGGCCTCTTTGATTTCAGTGCCTCGCAACGAAAGGTTAAGGGATGGGTTTGTGCAGTAGGAAAGTTTTTGCTTGGTTCCAAGAAGTAGCTGTTTTGTTTTCTTTGTGTTTGGGACCATCTTGCTTAGCAAGAACCAGTGATTCGCTTTGTTGAGATTTCCCTGAAGTCCATGTTGGATATGCAAAAGATTAGAATTAGCCATCCATAATGTAGTGTCATCGGCATAAATATCCACATTGCAATCGGGTATTGCAAGTGGAAGGTCATTGATATGTAAAAAGAAAAGGATGGGACCCAAAATAGAACCTTGTGGGACGCCTCGAGTAATTGGTAGTGCGTCAGACAATGATCCATTGATACAACATCGCTGTGTTCGATTGTGTAGGTAAGACTCAAACCACCGCAGAGATGTATTATCAGTGTGGTACATACTGATTTTTGATAAAAGTAAGCTGTGATCTATCAGATCAAAAACTTTACTAAAGTCCAGCAGTACTGCGCCGATGATGTTTTGCACTTTTGGTGCAATTGCCTCAGCTTGTTCTAATTTTAAGCAGCATTTGTTTCAGTCAAATTAATTCTACTTCAAGTGAGTTCCAGGTTGTTTTTCTTTTAGGGACACTAGATGTTATGAAGCCATGTGCAGATGTTCTTTCAGTAATGTTTCCTATCAGACGAGATAATGGTGCATTTGAGCTTATCCAGGGTTATAGGGCACAGCACAGCCATCACAGGACTCCATGCAAAGGAGGTTGGTTGGCTTATTTTCCAAAATGAAATAATTTAAAATAACAGTATGAACAAACATATTTTTGCATGCTAGACAGGGTTATTACAGCAACTCTTTCCTTCCAGCTGGTTTTAGGCAGTTACTCTTTATTGGATCAGAATCAGAATGTGTATACTTTAGATGCTATAATATCAGGAGTGTAAAATTAAGACTATGATCTGATTGTGCAGTTGAGAGAAGTTCTGAAAAGGACTCTTGTTGGTCACAGAGTCTGATACGTAAACAAAATGAGAGGAAGTAAATTTCTGGAGTCAGTGCATTTTACAGTTTATGTGTTCCAAACACTTTTCTTTATACACCTTATACATGGTCTTATTTTCAAGCCAAATACTCACTTGTGACCAAGCATAATGGCACTTGATATATTTTCAAGTTTTTGTTGTTAACATACTTGTCAGTTACATAAGCTTTATCATCTGGAACATCAAGGTAATTTTTGGTTTTTTGATGGTTAACCTAGCTTGCATTTAGTGGTGCTGTTACCTGAAATTTGGTGGTAATTACTATTGACATAGTTGCTATGGATACCAGCTCAGTCTCAGCAAACCATATCTACTGTTGAAGTCCCTACTCAGCCACACATGTCTTTGTTGTAGATTTGTCATTTCTAGAGATGGATACTGATAATGTTGTCAGTTCGTATAGGTAATCACATGATTTTGAGTGCAACTTGGAATAAATAAGCACGAGTAAATTTTTTCAAAGGCAAACAAAATTGCACGAGCCCATAGGGCTCGTGCAATTTGTGGTCTTTGAAAAAATTAACAAGTGCTTGTTTATTCCAAATTGCACGAGTAAAATCATGTGATTAAGTGTTAATAATATACATGGAAAAATACAAGATAGCTTATCAAAATTAAGCATAAGCAAAGTGCGCGCATCAAGTGCAAAAATAAGTTATTCAAACCTGCGTTCGGTCAAAACAACAACATACGATTAAAACAATATATGTGATGATATCTTCACATCTTTAAGGCGCAAAAAAGTTCAGAGTCTGACTAAACAGTTCAAGGAATTGTTCAGTATGTGTCTGAATCACTTTCAATGAAATGGAATCGTCGTTTTCAAGGTTTAACCATGTTTGTTTTTAATTTTGGCGTTGGATCGCTTGAGCAAAGTATTAAGCTGGGTTGGTAATTTTCAATTTCCTTGGCAATTCCCTTCTCTAATCACCACTTTTTCCAAACCAACAACCAAAAAGCAGTGCTTTTTACAATGTTTTCGTTGTTTGAGCTGTTTTTCATCTGCAGTTGCGAAAGAAAACCTACTTAAAATGCCAACCATTGTTTTGCTTGCAAATTTTCAAATTTTCAAATTTTGTTGTGATGTCCAAGGCTCGCATTTGATTGGCTATCTGTGAGTTTCTCTGATTATTGACCAATCAGAATGTCTGATTTGTTACTTTTTTTTGCACTGAATTAACCCTCTCCTGCACTGAATTAACTCTCTTCTGCATTGAATTACCTGAAAACTGCATTTATCTTAACCAATCAGAACTGAGAAATTTTCCCATGTATATTATTAACCGAGAAACCTAGAAAACAGTAAATACCAGAAATATTTCTTGATGGGTAAAGAAAAACCAACTGATGAGGTTCAAGAACTGGTGGCTGTACACAATAATGCTATTAAAATAGTTTGCAGTTTTGTGGCTCACTTTCATGTCCAATGTGGAAGCTAACATTCTAGATATCTATGTGCATGGTTTTCTCAGAGTGACATCTATGTGTTAAATTTTTTTTTCTCCAGGTATTAGGTACAGTGATGATGTTGATATTGATGAAGTACAGGCATTGGCCACTCTTATGACGTACAAATGTGCAGTGGTAGATGTTCCTTTTGGTGGTGCAAAGGGTGGCATCAAAATTAACCCTTCAAAATACTCAGTATGTTTCTTGTTATACATAGATTTTTATCTTTTCATTGGTTTTCATTCTTTGGTTTTGTTTTTAAGGCTTCTTTTGAGATGTAACTCTTCTCTCCTTAACTTCACTGTTTGTTTTTTTTTTTGCTTTGTCTTTCTTTTATAGCAACCTGAGCTGGAGAGGATCACACGCCGATTCACCGTGGAGCTTGCTAAAAAGAATTTCATTGGGCCTGGTCTTGATGTTCCAGCCCCAGACATGGGGACTGGGGAGAGAGAAATGAGTTGGATTGCTGACTCCTTTGATATGACTTTAGGTAAGTACATGACAATTTAAGCTCACTGCCCCCCTATGTGATTTGGTGGCCTATCAGTAAATGAGCTAGACTCTTCTACAAAAAAGTTTCAGGTTCAAACCCTGGCAAGGATCATTGTATCCTAGATGTTTTAAGACAAGATCCTTTACTCTCACAGTCTCTCTCTCTACCTTGTATAAATAGGTGGGTAGCTAATGAAAGCCAGATGCCTTCCAGAGTATTCAGATAGAACCCAAAAGTTGTGACTCCTAAGTTAGCCCAATTTTTTTTTGAAAGTAATCAGAGCTGCTACTTTCAAACTGCATGTTGGCATATTGGAAGTTTGTCATAAGTCAAGCCCTTCAGATGTTAAAGGGGACAGGCCATGCTACTTTATCAAACATACACATTTGTGATGTACATGTATTATTTTGAATTGCATTCAGGTTATGGTAACATGAATGCATATGCTTGTGTCACTGGGAAACCAATTCATCTTGGAGGAATTCATGGAAGAGTGTCAGCCACAGGAAGGGTAATATGTTTTTTATTCTTTCCGATTTTCTTACTTTTGAATTTATTTTTCTGATTTGTAATAAATTCAATTATGAGAAATTAATCTGTGACCTAAATTCCATTTTCAGGGTGTTTACCATGGAATAGAAAATTTTATAAGTTCAGGTATATTGCATTAAAAGTTTGCAAAAAGTTTATTTTTTAGCACATTTGTAATTATGTTTATATATAGCAATTCTTAGACTTGGGCTCTTACAAGAGCTACAAGTACTTCTAGTAATGAAATGAGGATTTTTTTTTGTGATGTGTTTGTTGTATGTTACAGTAAGCATGTTATTTTGTTCCATTGTCTAAAATAAATAGTATTCAAAGGACAGACTTCTACTAGCTCTGATACTTTTACAATGTCCAAAGGATTAGATCTTTGGACCAGGCTTTAGATTAAGAATTCTAGAAGTCTACTCTGTGTTTGAATGTGTAATCTACACATGGAGGGCAGTGCCAATTATTGCAGTGATCCATATTTAATGGGTCATCCATGTGTGTCAGACTTAAGCTCAGGAGACTCACATTTTGTTGTAAATGATCTTGCGACAAACAATCACACTGGCTTGATGTACACTATTTTCATTTTCCTACTCACTACTAGTTCCAATCTTTCAATCAATCAACCCAAATCACCTATCATATTTCTGTACTTCTGTCATGAATCTATCAACAAATTCAATGTAATGCTTCACTCAAATTCATAGCATCCCTTCTCAGGGTTCACCTATCATGTCACAGATAAAGACCTTAAAGACTGGTTTTTAGGTTATAGTGATAGAGTTAGAGGAGAGTTGTTATCAAAAGCTATGATCCATTGAATATCAGGATTTGTTCTAGCTCTTAACTAACATTTTTTCTGCTCCAATTGTGACTTTAACATCATGATGAACTCTTAAAGGGTAGAAAAATTGTCAAGGCAGCCTTAAGAGACTGGGTGGATGGTACCTATATATAGTACAATTGATGGGGGGATGGTTTGATACCCAACTAAGTTTGGAAGACATTGACATTGTGCTCTGTGACCATGTTAGCTGGGTGTTCTGCACTCTAGTTGTACAGTAGTGTCAAGGTGCTGTCTAAGGGGAGTAATAACACCACTCAAGCACTTCACAAAAATTAACACAAAGGTTTAAGCTCTGATCTCTTGACCCTTTTCACCCTAGCATCAGTATGGATATTCTCCATACTGTTCTCTATACATTTCTTAAGGTGCTGATAAGGGGAATTTATTTAACAATCAAGAGATTCTTTAGTTAGTAAAATTTCCTTTATTCTAGTAATCTTCTTTGATTAAGAGGCAATATTGTAAGGAGAAATTAGATGCTGGTCACTCTTAGGGGTCAAAGGGTTGAGCATAAAATAGTCAAAAGGAGGAATGACACTAAAATACAAATGCACATCAGCAAAGTTCAGTTCCCATAGGGCCACATGTACAATGATCTCAGTTGATACATGAAAACTACAAATGTCTCTTCAGTTCCTCCCATTCATCCTTAGTCTTTTTTCTTTGATTCTTTTGTGTTAGGTGTCAGGAAGCTATGGCATACACCCTGCATATCTGTAAGAATATTAATTGGCATGCAGGACTTAGAGAAATCTGTACAGGCAAAGCAAAACAACTGATAGTAAAATAATGTTAATACTTTCTTCCTTTTTCAGAAAAATATGCTAAATTGGTTGGCCTAGAACCTGGTCTTCGAGGGAAGACATTCATAGTTCAGGTAATTATTAAAAAGAATGACCATTGCTAATACGAAACATTGTCAGTCATGTTGGAAAAATGTTTGCTATATGTTCATTGTTAAAAAAAGAGAGGAAATGTAAAGTTGCTTTACATAATTTAAAGTTGCTTTTAAGTTGTCCTGGAATATTTGCATTTCTTTGATAACAAAACTGATATGGAGAATAGATAGCTAGGTGTTGGCTCAACCTGCAGGAGATTTTCTGGATTTCTCTGCCTTTCTAAGCAACCCTTCGATATTTTTTTAGGTTTGCCTTGACAGTTTAATTACCATTTACCAAGTTATATAGAGAGAGACTGTGACAATAAATTGTTTTAGTATATATCACACACTTAGATAAATAGTGCTTTTCATGTATGCATGCTGACTGGCCCAGCTGTAAAGAGAGGCACTGTGAGAATAAATTGTTTTAGAATATGCCACACACTCAGGTGAATAGTATTTTTTGTGAATGCTGACTGGCCTAGTTATAGAAAGAGGCACTGTGAGAATAAATTGTTTTAGAATACACCACACACACAGGTGAATAGTGCTTTTCATACATGCTGATTGGCTGGTTGGGAAGTGATTGGCAAGTATACTATTCACCTTTGAGCAGCTGAAGAGACAAAATACATCAACAATTAATTTCTGACCATCTATCGGTACATTGACAGAAATAAACTAATTTTTATGTGCTAAAACAATGATTCACCTCAGTATTGGTGAAAGCGGTGAAATTGTTAATTACTTCAGAACAAAAAACACAATAGCGTTGCCAGAGCTTGGATGCAAATCTTTTGACCTGATGTTCAACACAACACCAACCATTAGCCACTTTGTTTCCTCTACTGATAATGTAAGCATGTTTTAAGTGGCATAAGTGTAAACTAAAACAGTGGCCAGATAGCATTAAAGGTGCACTCTAATTGGCTACTCAAACTCTGAATATCCTTTGCTATTGACCTCAGAATATCCTTTGTTTTTGACTGTCAAGGAACTTGTGCAGGATTTGTGCCCAAAAGGATTGTAATTGTTTGTTGTTGGAATAAAGGAGTTAAAATCATCTTTTTGTGCTTTATTATCTCATTGTTTAGTAAATATTAAAACATTTATTCACCTCAGTGTGGGTGGCTGGTGGTGAATATTTACCTCACTATATCGTGGCTTAGTAAATATCTATAACCACCTCCACTTTGGTGATGAATTGTTAAATAAGTTCAGTAATTCATGACTTCTTTTTAATGTTTATAGGGATTTGGTAATGTTGGTCTTCACACCTGTCGTTATCTTCACCGTGCAGGAGCTAGATGTATTGGGATCATGGAGAGAGATGGAAATCTCTTCAATGCAGATGGAATTGATCCTAAAGAACTTGAGAACTACAAACTGGTACAGTGTGTAGCTTTTTACATGCAGAGTTCTCTATAGTGTCTTTTTTATAAGTTTTATTTTAAAATGTCTTCAGCTTACATTTGTTTATTGTTTCCCTTTTTCTCCAGGACAACAATGGCTCAGTTAAAGGATTCCCAGGTGCAAAGGTTTGTGAAATGCTGTGAAAAAAGTAACTGTCAGTAATTTTCACCTTTATGTAAGGTTTCGCCAATTCGTCATGGCTAATTAACATTTTTTGCTTAGGTTTACTAACTCAAGGAAATGCTACTCTGTTGATTCTGGTCATCAAAGTCCTTCAATAAGGAATAGTGCAGTGAACTGTTAGGGAAATAAATTTGTAATGAAGTTGCTCCTTCCTCCTAGAATATAAGCAAGTTGAAATGTTATATGCTGGTTTACCTGAGACCTTCAGAATGGATTAATGCTTTCGAGTTAACATTCTGTTCACCTCTTTCTTAGTTGGAAAAAGCCTCAAAAACCTGGTGCAGTCAATTGACAAAATTATTAAATAAATAATTGTAGACATTGATTTTGAAAAATAATTACAATCATGCAATGTTTCAGATGACCGAGGAGAACCTTCTAGAAGCAGAATGTGACATATTAGTTCCTGCAGCCAACGAAAAACAAATCACCCTTAAAAATGCCCACAAAATCAAAGCAAAGGTACTCTGTTACTAGTAGTATTTATTTAATGATATTTAATTTTTGGGCTGTTATTTGGTTGTTAGATTTTCAAGCTTGGTTGCTCATTAGTGAGAAAGGTTATCCCAGTTTGTAAGGGAATGGGAATCTATAATAATTCGTCAGGGTTTTCTGACACATTTAGTGATGTTAATTTTCGGTTGACCTTTTAACTCTCATGAGTGACATTGACACAATTACTCCTTACAATATCAAGAAGACAAGTGATGAGTATAAAGAAAAATATCAATTAGTGGATTATTAGTGGATCCAATACGAAATTCTCCAAACTAACGTAAGAATTGTACGGTAGATAGTAAGGAGAATTACTAATGAGATCTTTGGAGTGAAATGGTTGATATAATTTGCTTTTTTACAACGCACAACATAAATGTTTCAATCACTTATAGAATTCGTCCCACTCGATCCAGAGTTTGCCATGCTTACCGCTAGACCACCTTACTTCTCTTTGCAGTTGTTCGATACGTTAATTTTACTTCATGCTATCTCAATCTTTCCTCTAAACAGAATTGTAATAAAGTTCGGGAATAAGGCGCGAAGAAGAAGGAAGAAACACTCAACTGCGTCTCATGTTTCTCCTTCGCTTCTTTCGTGCTCTAGCTGCTTCTTGCTTGCTTTACAACAGAACAGAACATAGTAAAGACTTCTTTATCTGTTTAAAGTAATTACTAGTCAGACAACTTCACCTTTATGTGAATAGCGGAAAGTGAAGACCATCAGTTAAGTCTTTTTTTTCTTGATTACTCTACTTTGTGTTCTCAGGTTATTGCTGAGGGGGCAAATGGACCGACCACGCCTGAGGCAGAGAAAGTTCTAATTGAAAATAAAAAACTCGTTATTCCAGTAAGTTTACAACGAAACAGCAAGTGCAATCTGAAGTAAATTTGGATATGAAGTTCTGACTTGTGTTTGTTTATCGTAATTAATTTTTGCACCAGAGGCATGGTTTGAGCTGAAATGTTTTTTATTGTGACCATGTAGGACTTGTATTTGAATGCGGGAGGTGTGACGGTATCCTATTTTGAGTGGCTGAAGAACATCAATCATGTCAGTTTTGGACGTTTGACTTGGAAATACGAGAAGGAGGCAAATTTTAATCTCTTAGGTGAGCGTGTCTTTTCACTAAGAATACATTAAAGATGGATCTTTATCATTCATTCTGTATTTACTTATTACTATGAGTATCAAGTTATTTAAGATAATATTGTGTTCGCCATATGAAATAGTGAAAAATGACTGAGAGCATAAATTGCAGTTTCCTTTCAACCTCGAACTCCCATCACGACCAATCTTACCTTTTTTTGAACTGCATAACTTTTTTTTTTCTTCCTCTTTACTTCATTAGCTACCAGAGACAGCTCACCTTCATAGGCATTTTTTTTGTGTTGATAAACACTTTTGGTGACCTCTTTGTATTGAATGTCCCCATAGATACAAATGTCTTGTACAAGTGCTGTTATTTGATAATCTCTTAGTGTCTCTGAATGTTTGTCTCTTCTTCGACAGGTAGCGTCCAAGAAAGCCTGTATAATCATTTCAAGGAAGCCATTCCAATCAAACCGTCGGCTGAGTTCTTGCAAAAGATCGCTGTGAGCATTGCTTTCACTTTGCTAATACGCACCACAGAGGTGGATCTGGGGAAGGGTGCGCCAACTCGGCCGCCCTCCCTCCCCCCCCCTCACTGTGATGACCAACGGCTTTTTTATGTCACTAGTATCCTGTAGTAAAATTTGTTTGCGTCTCCCTGTCAGTTACGGCCGTCCTAAGTGGTGCACCCCTCTCCTTAGAAGAATTCTGGATCTTTCTCGGCACCCAGTGTAACTCGATTGAGCAGTGCGACTTTTGATACATTTTTAGCGACTCAGATGCCGCGCAACCCAAATAAACCCCGCTTTTCTTGATGTGATGTTTATTCGGACAAACCAACAATCGATATTTTTACTCTCCCTTACGTTCCTTATTTGGGGGAAGGTGCTTCATTGAAGGCAGTGCCTTATGGAGCAAACACGGTAACTATATGTAATTTCGTTTGAATTCCTAACTGTCTTGTAAACCCTGAGCTGCAAGATTTGTACATGATCTTCCAATAAGATTTGTTTTCTCCCAAAATGTAATGTAGTCTTTTAATTTTAAACTTTTGTAATCTTCTAGGGCGCGAATGAAAAAGATATTGTTCATTCTGGATTGGAGTTCACCATGGAACGATCAGCCAAGGTATGTCGTCACTGATTCGAGGTTTTCTTCACGAAATCGTGTCCATATTTGTCCTTACCTTGGGTGCTGAGCCGTCAAAAAATAGCCCACGTTTGATATTTCGAAAACTGCTTCGAGTACATCACGTCATAACATATTGGTAGCTTTCCTGGGAAATTAATAATAAGTGTAAAACAAATTTCCCTTTTGGTCCGGTAATGATAAGCAGTTATTGGATGAGGTTGAGCATGACACTACACACTTAACGTATGGTCCCTAGGGAAACAGTTAGTTTTGTTTTCCCGAGACTCCTGATGTTTCTTGAGACGAAGTCGAGGGAAACATCAGGACTCGCGGGAAAACAAAAGTAACTAATTTCCCGAGGGACCATACATTAAGTGCTTTGTTATATATTTAGACTTCCCTTAAACAATCATGTGCTGTTGTATTCGGCGCGCGGGCACCAACTACGCAATTGTATCCCGGTCGGGATACATTTGAATTTGACCAGGGGCACGTGACCAAGAATCAACCAATCACAGTTCTCGTTTTGTTGAGTGAAAGTCTACGTATCAAAACCGAGGTCTGAGTCATCTGCCGAAACCGAAGTCTAAAGCAGATGAAACAAGCACGAGGGTTGATAATTCATGAGATTTTTCAAAAATGTATCATAACGATGATGATAACATTAATGGACCACTCACATAATGAAAATTTATAGGGCCAATACGAACAAATTGTAAATAAGCTAAGAAAGCCGACCAGTTGGTTGTATAATAAGCGAGGCCAAGAAATTGAACTCAGGGTATCGAGAACAAATCCAGTAATTTTGGACTTTTCTTCGTTAAAAAGTGAATTTAACTGTGATTTTCTTTTCCTTTTAGCAAATTATGCACTGTGCTAGTGAGTACGAACTGGGTCTAGACATAAGGACAGCTGCGTATATCGTGTCCATGGAAAAAGTCTACAACACATACACTGTGGCTGGTTTCACATTTACATAATCCTTCTGAGAAAATTGACCAGTGATTAATTCTAAGATAATTTCATTTGGCTAAATTTACAAATGAGCTTTTCCATGGAGGATATTTATTGTAAAAGCAACTACTGCAGCGGTCATGCGTCCATGATGATTGTGTGTCTGTGTAAACTGGATGAAATGAATGACAACGTTTTGTTGCCTTTTCTGAATTTCGAATCATATAGCAGTCGCGCTCTTTGGTCATAGCTGCTCTTGAAACAACGACATTTGACACAACTGTCGCACTTTTTAGGTCATAGTTGTTTTTGAAACCGCGACATTACGACAGAAATAGACAGTAAAATTAGAAAATGCGAAAATGTTCCATCAATAAATAACGGAAAGCTCTTGTCACTTTTAATGGGCTTGATTCGTGACTCCTAATTTCTGTGGGATCTTCCTAGGGAACCTGTGATCTTCTCTTTTCATGATCTTATTTTGCCACAATTTGATGAGAACTTTAAGTTAAGATTATTTTACTGAGAATTGAAAAAAAAAAGCGCTCGTTTTAACTATTTGTCTGATGTATTTTTCGTACTCCAGTTTTCCCCGTTAAAATTAAACTCGTCATGGAGCGTGCTGCTTCTTGATCGGTCCTTTTTGTAACCATTTAGCTTTCAGTGCGCAGGGACGTAAAGAAATTCAAAAGTCAAACATCTTTCATAGCGCGCATTTCCTTTTGTACTATTATGAGTTACTTAACGCTCTATCTGTAACTAGTTAATTTTAGTGTTCTTTTCTCTTGAACATCTCGGCATGCATGTCTTTAATACGCGGTAACATACGCTTTATGCACCACTTCTATTTGCCCTTGTCGGTTTACTAAATTGTACTGGTGAGCGGAGCTAAAGAATAAGAGACTCATCTTTCAGGAAGTTATGTCACCTTCAGGCTTAGGGCTCCGCCCTTTCCTCCTGAGGAACCGGAGTGCGCGTGCGCAGTTTTCTACGGCACTTAGTTGCGTGACTTGCATTGTCGTGATGTTCTTGTATCCGCCATGTTGGATCCATAAAGAAACATCAACTACGGGATTACTAAGCCTTTTGCAAATAGGAAGAGAATTGCTACGGTCATAGATTTAATATGTCTGCCACTGAATATAATAACTTACTCTTCGCAATAAGTCGGAAACTCGACGAACTGAATGCACTCGATCACCTTCTGTTCATGTGCAGAGGGAATCTGGCGCCAGGCAGCGAAGGCATCATCCATGATACTCTGTCGTTGTGTAAAGAGTTGGAGGAAAATAATAATTTAGGAAGTGATCGCCTTCAGCTAATGAAAAGACTGTTGAGGGGCGTCGAAGACTGGGCTCTTCTTGAAAAGGTGGAGAAATTCGAGCGCAAAAGAAAGGAATACAAGGCCTTGCTTGAAAAGATAATTTATTCACTCGATACGCTCAATGATTTGGAACGGCTGATCGCGATATGCAGGGAAAGTGTTCGCGAAGGGAGTGAAGGCAACATTGAGGATGTTCGCTCGCTATTTAGAGAACTGGAGAATCAAGGCAATCTTGAGATTGACTATCTCGATGTTGTGAAGAACATTCTAGCTGAAACAGAGTCAAACGAGCTTTTGAAGGAACTCGAACAGTTCGAAGAACGAAGAAATCGGGAAGATAAATCCGAAGCGAGGAAAGGTATTTCAATCTCTGTTTTCTGTTTTTAATGGTCAACAATAACTTTTATAAATGTTCTCGATAAAAAGTATAAAAAGTCCGTAGTATTTGTTGCCGCTCTTGTCCTCGACAAGCTGTACATCATCCGGGTTTGATTGAGGGAATTAATGGAATGTTCAAGAACCTCATACTATTCATCTTCGGTTGTAGGGAAACAACACCGCAAAGAAATGCGACAAAACATGAGAGACAGGTTGATTCTTTTTGTAGACGCATAACAGTCTGGTCTGAAAGTCTGGTCTGATTTGCTTTGTGTTAATGGACTTGTTTCAACAGTCTGGTTTACCAATTAGTAGAACTTGATAATACTTTCTAAATTAATCGGTCTATCTTTTGCCACCAGACAATCAGTTGTCTGCATAAGATGAAATTCTATGGCATACAATTCTAATAAATTAATTGAAAATAATTAACCCTATTTTAAATGTGAAATTTAAAAACGAGCACCAGAACTTTGAGGGCAATGCTTAAAACAACCCTGTGATAGATGTGAAGGCCAGTTTGATCCTCAACAAAAAAAATTATTTACGATCCTACCTGCAGTGTAAAATAGAAAGGAAGGTTGCAGGTAGGGTTTATCTGTCGAGGCGTATACAACCCTGTTCCCAGCTTCTTTTCTCTTAACCTTTCTCGAGGAATGTTGAAGTGTGTAGGCTGGTTTTCTTTGACATTATCTCGTAGGAGGCTGTAAATCCTCTGAGTTTTAGCCTCGAGAAAGTAGGGAGAGATACCACATGTGATATGAAAAATCATGTTATTAACTCAGACATGAGGACTGACGGGGAAGCTTTCCACCACAATATTTACCTCCTAAAGAAGTTTTGTTTTAGTATCCCTCCTTGAGTAGGTTACCAACTATCTTGAGATCCTTGTCCTTAACCTTCAAGTGGGCTTATTTAACGGTGCAGCTGACTTAGTTACTAAGCACTCTTAATGTAAATCTCATGAAAGAGAGAAAGAACCTGAGACAGCTTTCTTTGATAGAGTTGAAGTCCACTTAACTGTCTGACACCTGTTGTTCCATTTATATAGCACAAAGAGCTGCTCTTATGTCATCCGTCAGAAGCACATTGGTAGGAGGTAAGCCAGTAAAAAAAATGTTTTGGTAAATTCTCTTAAAAGGGCTCACCCTGTACCTTGGACTTGACAGTTTAAGACAATAAGGGAGTAGAGGATAGGGCCATTATCTAAAAGTCTTGGCTCCAACAAAGAGTCAACGTGAAACCGCATTCTTTTTTGCGGCTCGAATTAGTTTGAAAAACAACACCACTATCCTTTGTAGAATGAGTCATATCACAAAATATATATATATTTTTTTATTATTTTCAGTGGTGAACATTAAAACAGTATTCAAAGTAGTTGCTGGCGGCCTTACAGTCGTTTCTGCCATGGAGGTTTTGAGTCGTTGGTCCTCATTTGATCAGCTGGTTGCAGCCGTACAAACCTGTGTGCTTCCAGCCGGCACAAGGCTGGTTCAAATCACAGATGGCTGTGTGTGCCTCACAGTTCAAGCCGAAAGTTTATCAGCTCTTAAACTTTTGTGGAAGTTGTATCAGGATGGAACCCTTCAAAAACATCTGTACGATTTCTTTGTCACTGATGAGGTGAGAGAACTCGCCGATGGAGAGGATGTGGAGGTGAATGTCACCATCGATGAACGCGAATATCAGAAAGCTTGTGTCGAGCTCATACAAGGGGCCCAAGGTGACCTTGCATTGTTATGTTTGATTCATTTTTTAGCGAATTTATGAGCCCGGATTTCCATACGGATCGTGTTAAGTGTTCCTTGATGCATATCTTTTTTCGTTCCCGCATATTAATGTATTTGTGGCTGTTCACCAAATAGATTGTCAACCTTACCACCCTTAATCTTGCAAGTCCGAAATAAGATACTGGCACCATTTTTCAGCAATTTAACTAAAGTTTTTATCTGTTCTTTCTGCTTATTTATAGTGCGTTCATTTGAAGTCAAAGTTATCGTGCTAATAATATAAGTTTTAAAGTTACCATTATTGATTTTTATTCTACTACTTTTAGGAGGTGCAACGATTGACAGTGTTGAAAGAAAACGGCGAAACTCTGATTCAGCTGTGTATTTCAACGCAAAAGAATTACCACTGTCAAGGCTTGAATGTCTAGAAACAGAATTAAAATATCTCCATAACAGAATTACACTTCTGGAGGAAAAAAACCAGAATTTGGGATCGCACTCTTTGGAAAAAGTGGAAATCGCACCTTTAGGATCATACGATGAAAGTTTTGGTAAGAACTGATTGTGAAATTCAACACTATAGGACTTAGGTGTTGTTGTTTGTTCGTTTTTCTTGTTGTTTTGTGTTTTTCCGTTGTCATGAATTACCATCCTCGGCATTTCCTTTTGATTGTTATGTTACCAAGTTCCCTAAAAAATGAAAACGTAGATCACCACTGAAAACCGCCTTGGCGAGTTTGATCCCCTCATTGCATATCATTATCATTATTATTGCTATTATTATTGTTATTATTATCATATTTATTATTATTATTATTATTATTATTATTATCATTATTACCATAGTTATCACGGCTCTAACTGTGAGGTAATCTGTCTCAGATTACAAACCATGGGACCCCACGACAATGGAGAAAGACATTTTAAAGATGGAAGGATCAGAAAGACGCGAGAGTAAACAAACAATGAAATTTATGGGCGCAGAAAAAATAGATTTTGTACAGAGGTATATAGAAAATGTGCAAGAGACATATAGCTTGACGACTGAGACAAGTGACAGTGGTTTGGGAGCACGCACTGCTGTGTCCGAAGAGGAAACAGAAGATGTGAGAGGTAAAACTGATTTAACTGTCGTTTCGGTCGTTATTTTTAATGAAACAATGTTAACGGTGACTCGTTGTAAAGAGCAAAGGGGGAAAGGAGGATGAATGTCAATCACAGCTTATCGCGAGAAGTCAAATCCAAATTTGCGTTTGAAGAAGAAAGATGTATTTTCATTTTTGTTTTCATTTTAATTTACACGCAGTTTTGGGCGTAGCACTCGAGCCGCAAAAAAAAACATCAATATTGCTTCTCGTTTATCCATTTATCTGAAAAGAAGTGGCCCTCTTTTCACCCCGTCGACAGCCATTTAGGCCGTTCATGCAGCCAAAATAATCACTCGACAACGACTATTTAATCACCGACAGGCTAACATTATGCTGCATGGTGATTCACCTAGGCAGACAACCATTGACAACTTTTAATGCGCTTAGGGAAAACAAAAATGTTTCCAACAATAAAGGTGAACGTTTTAAAAACTACTTCACTATTTGTTTTCTTTTGTGGACATTATCTGCCCAAGCATAAAAAAAATGTCTCATCCATCAGAAAATGCTACATTACACCCCATCCATTATGAAAACAATCCGTCCGTCAAAGGTCGCTCCTCTCGGTCCCAAAGGTGGCCTTTGTGGAGAAATTCAACGTAATCAAATATTTCTAATCGTTATTTTTCCTTTTAACCTTATTCAGATTCCAGTACAATTTGCGTTAAAGATCTGGGGGAAGAGTCAATAAATGAAGTGGATCGGAAACTTTCTGTAGATAAAGTTGGGTTGGAAAGGGTTTTTCGATTTTTTGGTCTTAAAGTGGACTTTAGACCTTCCAGTCATGTTTCTTGTATGAGGCAGATCGCACATAGCTTTCCAAACACTCCTGTTGACCTAATGAGGCAATGTTTCGAGGCACTTCAAATGTATGATCTTGTTGACCTTCTGGAGAAGGCGGTGAAAACAATTTCACTTCGTCCTGTCCTTTCATTTGGAGAAGTCGAGACGTTACGCACTGGTAATCTTCCCACAAAGTCTCACAATAATGTGGTAGTACTGGTAGTAAATGACAGTGCGGACAAAGACCTCAATCAAAAGATTGAAGGATTTTTTAAAGAATTAAATTCACAGAACGATGTCACTGTAATTAGATCTTCTAGGTCGGAAGAAAAGCTCAAGGAACTGAGGGATTTGAAACAGAACCAAATGCATATGAATCAGAAGCAAATGTATTTGAAACGACTAAGCGAGGTGGTAAAAATAGGGACAAAATTGAAGTCTACAGCCGAAAACCGTAGATTGGATCGTCAGCTCCTTGAGGTGAAGTTTGAAATCGCACTGCTTGAAAAAGAAATGGCAATGAACAAACCGCTTGTGGAGGAGCAACTGAAAGAGAACGAGGAGACTAAAACGATCATAATGTCTACAATGGACAACTGGATTCAGAATCAAGGTTGGTTGTAAACTACTTTCTAAGCGTAACAGAGTATCGACTGTGTGAAATAGTTAATTATATCAAGGTTTGAAACACAAAAGAAAAAAACCTCGAGGCTCATACGTCTGAGAACAGTTTGAAGGATACGAAACAACATCAGCTGAGGACTTGGCCCACGAAATAATCTTCATGACATGACATGTGATGAAATTAAAAAAGGGGGTTGTTTAAGAGATATGATGGGCCAAACTTACCCCATTTGTGCCTGTTCTGACACTAATCACGCGCGTCATTTCATCGGTTCACAGTACGTTTTGCTGCAGCTGAAAACAATGGTTTTTAAAGTAACACTTGAAAAATTCGCTTGGTAGAAAGTCTCGTGCGTATGGAACAATTTGATATATAGTTTGTGGGGAAATCACGCAAATTTAAACTACATCGACTCAAAAAGTTCCCCGAGCCGTTCCTTTCAAGTTAATAATTTGCATAGTTTTAACCATCTTTTTCCCCTTAGAATAATTTTTTGTTAATGCCCCAATTTAAAGGGGATAATTTGTACTCCAAAATTACGCAATAGAAAATATAGGTCACCGTGCTCGTTCAAGAGCTAAAAACTATCGTATCTTTTTACCTGGTCCATTAATTAAAAAAGAAAACCATGTTGTCACAATGCGCGCGCTTATTAGCCTGATTACGTGATTCCTATGCGCAGTACAGAATGCGCAGTGCAATACTGAGGAATCACCTTAACACCCCTTTGTCCAGGACAATGAGAGAAGGATTATGCATAAAATATTTGTCAGTGACACAAAATCGTATTGAGACAAGCTTATCGGCTTATCGTCGTCACAATTTCTTGCTTTTCTTAGTCTCTGTTCTTTTTATTTATATTTTATTGTTGTTATTTTCGTTCAACAGAGAAATTCACCGCGATTTTTCTAGCTTTCATCATCGATGAAGAGAAATCAATTTATGATTATAATGTTTTATCAGAATGTGTGGCGTCCAAGTTGTCATCGCTTCCATATCACACGAAAATCGTGGTTGGTGCTCCAAGGGGGAAAATCGTTCGTAAGGTTCCTGAGATGCTATCTATTGGTTCTCCAGACAGGCCAATTACCTCCTCGATCTTCAATTCGATGATTGAGATTTTCATCAAGCGATACCACAAAGTGGATCTCGTCTCAATGATGAGAGAATTATTAAGAACATGTCCGGAACTAATTTCTAAACGTGGTATGAATGACTTCCGAAGCAATCTTTCTACTCTTCCGAGTTTTGAGAAAAGGAAAGAACTGGAGCTCGAGCGACGCTAATCATATGTGAATTAAACGAGACACTATTTGAAATAAGGAACATTATCAACAACTAATAAGGGACCAGTCATCCGATCATTATCTATCGCCTAGGGGATGGGGGTGAGGGGGGGTATAAAAGGATTTTTTGTTGTGTCACAATGAAATTTACCCTATCCCCCTCAAGGCTCTGTCGTATTCTTATGATCCCCGCCTCATTGGCAGTCAGTTGACTGATCCCCAATCCGTTTCCCTTCAAAAAAGAGTAATAAATTAATCTTCCCAGAATTCTCCACTACCCCTCCCCAGGTGATAAATAATTGCTGGTGCCCAACAGAATACCACGCGCCATCCCATAGTTGTATTTTTCTTGTTTTCAAGTATCAGGGTTACTCAAATTTTTTTCCTATATAAGGGAGGAAATGCTATTTACATTCAAAGATGTTTATTATGCAGTTGCGGACAAATTTATTTGCAAAAGCACGACGAATGAAACCTGGAAAAGGAATGTACCTGAATCTCCGAATCTCCTTTCAAGGGAATCTTCTCAAAACGTTTTTTTGTTTTTGTTTTTTGTAATTATCCTCTCGGTGGTTTGAGTCAATGTTGTCTCTTACTTAGAGCTGAGTAGTAGAGTTGCAGAGGTATCATAGCGCGAAACTAGAATGAACTCGAGCATACGCGCACGCAAGACAGTTTTCTCTTTACTGGCATTTACATCTTTCGTCCACTTCGACACTTTACCCGCTGCTTTGCTTTTCCAAACAAAGGAAAAATAAAAACCACTAGTATATAAAGAGGTCGCCTCTTATGAGTAAGATATTGATCGATAGCTTTTTAGGTTGGCAGGAAGGGGGATGGGTACAGAATTCATAAAGCTGACATTTACCACACGATGTAACCGAGCATTCAAAGCTGACCTATAAAAACAAACAATAGTTCAGATAACTATATTAAAATACTAGGTAGGAACAGATTATGATGCAAAATTCAGCTTTAGAGACTAGTTTAGATGGGTTAATTGGAACTTTTGTAACAATGCGACAACACTATTCAATAGAAAATGACATAATAAGTGGCGCAGAGTGTTACTAGCATTTATTGTTGTACAGATTAGTAACTTCGGAAAAGGCAGTAGTTCCTTTAACGAGATTTAAAAACGCATTTTAATAAGCAAGGTTCAGTTTTGTTTTTAGTTTAATGATCCCGAATATTGTGATTTCAGTAGAGTAACCCACTAACTTCAAGTTTAAATTGGTGAGAATCCACAAAGAATTTAAAAGCAAAATGATGAAATTCTTTGCAAACCAGTTGAATTGAACTGAGGTATTGTAACGATTTTCATGAGATTTATGCATTCACCCTTCCTTCACTCTCCTCCTTGTCACGCTGTCCTTGGTCTTTCCCAACGTGCTTTGTTATTGCATGCATTTTTCCTTTCGTTTCTCTCTTCACCACCATTGTTAGTGCTCCTCGGTTTGGAAAATATTTTATCAAGTCGCTCTTTAGGAACATTTGAGTTCTTTTACTATGCATGTAAGATGACCGATCGGTTTTACCAATGTTCTCTTTTTTTTTTTCATTTTTCTAAAGATATTTGATTAGCTCTGACAGATTTATACAAAAGCAGGTTATATAATAGGAACTGTACGAGGCTAGGAATAAGCCAACTTGAAAAAAAATTATAATAAATAACCGAAGGCAAAGCGAAGAAATTTGCGGTTAATTTTACAGCTTCCTGTGACAGATGATGGTAAAGGAGTGTCTATTTTAGTATTTTAAATAGCTTTTTTATGTTAAAACTCTAAGCTTCTTTTCTCGGGCGCACCAACATGATCAAGGTAAAAAGAAGTAGAATTCTTGAAGCGCCTCTCAATACTTTTTTGAAAGCTTTTACAACACTTTGCACTTTGATTAGACTGCGTGTCATAGCCTAGCCTAGCCTTTGTACAGACGCCATGTAATTTAAGAAACAAGTTAGACCGCAACACCGGCTGAACCCTTTCCCGTAGTCTGCGCAATCAGATCAAGAGAACTTACGTCATCATCGTCTACAATGATGTGACACTTTCAATGTCGTTACTTATATTTCCACCTTCGTGGTAACCTTTATCTGTTTCACTTTGACCTTCAGGTATTTGATGTTTGCTTCTTTCTCGCCATTTCGTCACCTAATGAAACCAAAGTATTGATGGATATACAGGCTTGTCAACAAAAATTAAACTAGACAAGGAAATCAAAACTGTTTGCATTACCCGTAACATTCGTCGGAACTTGACCTCTTTTCTCATTGAAATTGCTCATGAGAGGCTGGGCCGAAATGAATTTGTACATTGTGCAAGTGCTGTTTTCTAAGAAATTTCGATTTTGACCAGTGAAACGGAGCGTGATATTTGAGTTGTCGCGTTTCGGCACTTTATTATGTAATATGATGGAACTGGCATATTACGGACACGTAAAGAACACATTTTTGAATAAAATTCAGCTCCTATACATTTAGTTACACTGGAAGGTACTTTTCAAATGCCGAGTGCCAAGCTATTAAATTGTTGCGCTCTCTCGAAGTCATGGCTTCCAATTTGAATCACGGTTTGGGTCTAAGATTTGTATGGCTTTTCATTCCGGCCATTTAGTGCTTTGAAGGCCTCGACCAGCAGTTTCCCCCAAGCACATCAAGTTTCCCAAACTATAGTTCCGTACTCTGAGCCCAGGATAAACCAAGCGTGAGGTCGATGATCTGTGAAGGTGTTTTGAGATCACGTGTCACTTCTTAATCGACAACTATATGATGGTACGGATTAGCTGAGTTCCTTCGATTCTTCAAATTACCAAATGTGTAGGACTGCCTGAGTCAATTCGTGTATTGAAAACTTTGACTGGCTGCCGATCATTTAGCCACAGCGTTATGAACATGTGTAACTCGAACGAATGTCAAGCTGTTTCTGTAATTTACAATTTCAGTTGTCCAACATCCTTTGAAATTTCTTTAATAATTTTGCTTTGTGGATCCGACAAAGTTCTTCGGTCCCGTAGAAATTAGATTCAATTCATTGATCTATTCTGCTTGTGGGTATGCCGGCGAAAAAAGTCGATTTGCAGGTCACTCGACGCAATTTTTCTTCCTTCCCCAAGCCTAGAACCTGTCACGCTTCATTGTTTTTTACTTGAGTAGTATCTCCGTACCTCAACCAAGGCAGTGACTCCTTTCCATCTGCTGAAAAAATAACGGAAAGCAAACCCAAAGATTTTATGAGTAGCACATTTAATGAACTCTGTTGTTGTACTGTCAAACAAAGCGGCTCTGATGATTATTAATTTGCCACCTATCAACAATTACGATTTTTGCTCACATATGCGGCTACGAAACCTGATATGCCGGTGAGTGCTCGTACAAATTACACGTGACCAGCACGTTTAGATGCCAACTGATATTGATGATTTTCTCTACACGCTTAAGAGATTCTTTTTCATTCCACTGTCATGTGTAGTCTATGATAGAATGCCAACAAAGAGATGGTTCACTTGTAAATTTTGTCCAGCTGACTTTCTGTTTGTAATGTCCTAGCACAAGCAGCGGCTCTTGCATCATCCGTCAGAAATTTACTCACTGGAGGTAGGCCGTATCTTCTTAAATGTTAGGGGCTCTTTGACACGACCACAAATATGTTGCATGCTCCAGTTGATCCAGGGGTGGGTAATGTTGTCCTCTAAATACTTCTCTCACTGGTGGATAGTACAGCACTTTTTGTTAAAATTATCTTTGAGATAGCTTCTCTTCCCCTTGAACAACTGGGCCAACATTTGCAGTCATTAAATCTTAAATAAATAAGGCTAACTAATCTGTCAGTGTTCCTTTAAGTTGTACCTAGCTAATAACTCGTTCTTGTTGTCCTCTAGTGGTAAATATGAAGACTGTATTCGAGTTGTTTTCTGGTGGTTTAGTAATCGTTTCCGCCACGGAGGTCTTGAGTGGCTGGTCCTCATATGACCAGCTTGTCGCCGCTGTACAGAGCTGTGTGCTTCCGGCTGGTACAAGTCTGGTTCAAATCACTGATGGCTGTGTGTACCTTACAGTTCAAGCTGAAAGTTTATGAGCGCTTACAAACTTGTGAAAGTTATACCAGGATGGAACTCTTCAGAAACGCCTGTACGATTTCTTTGTCACTGATGAGATGAGAAAACTGGCCGAGGGAGAGGATGTGGAGGTGAATGTCACCATCGAAGAAGAAGCTTGTCTCGAGTTGATGAATGGAGCTCAAGGTATTGTATGTTGCACAGTTGGTTTCTTGTTACTGTCGCCTCCCCTTCTTAGTCAATTAAAACGTTTTTAGCGTCCAGTCGGTGGATGAGTGAAAAGTTGTGAGAGACTAGTGCAGTCGTCAGGTCGTGTTAGAATTCAGCGCAAACCTTGCCCTTTCCCTTGTGAATTGATACATTTGTCAAAAGTTACAATAAAGTAACAGAGACTTATAATTCATGCTACGGTCTGCTATGTACTATGTAGTTTCGTTTGATATTCCCCAGCGTAACCATAAATTATAGCTAGAACCATAAGGCGTATGAATTCACGACCAGAGTACATGCATTAACTCTTACCCCCTTCTATAATGTCTGAATGAATTTTTTATGAGTTAGATTTTACCCCTATACGTCTACTTTAGATTTCTTCTTCTTTCGACTTCTCCCAATGCTAGTTTTTTTTTTAATCTCTAAAATGTTGTTGTAATATGAACTTTGGGAATCTGTGACTAACCACACGCCATGGATTTCATAAAGTATGATGTGTGTTAATTATAACTGATAATGGTATATTTTCAACACCTTTGAGAAATTAACCACAAAAAAATCCATATCTGTTGACACCTCTTTGATCGCTTTCACCAAACCTGTCTCCTTCAGATCCTAACACTAAGTAATGATTTAGTATGTTGTCATGGTCTACGCAAACACTACTTCCTCCTTTTTACCTTCCTCCTTTCTTTTGACTAGCTTGTTTGCCTGTTTTTGTTTTGTAGAAGTTGAACTCTCTGGACGAGAGGAGCGAGCCCGGAGAAACTCTGATTCAGTTCTGTATCCTAGCGTCAAGGAGGAACTGCCAATGTTAAAGATCAAACGCATATAGGCAGCATTTAATCAGAGAATTGCATTTATGGAGAAAGAAATTGAAGAAGTTTCTTAGCGGTATGTTTACCCAAGCTCTAGCCCTCTAAAAACTGATTGATTTTTAATAATATTTGCCCCTTGCCCCCAAGAGCAAACATTAATCTTGAAAATCCATAATTGCAAACTCCATATTAATATGCAGTATATTTTTTGAAAGCTGCGGAGGAGCACATCAAAAACGATATAAGTAGCTCTGAAAGAATTTTCATTTTGAGCCATCGAGGTCTAAAAAACAAAGACTAAAAGCGTAAGGAAGAAATATTCCGTCTCTAAATTTCACAGGTGCGCAGCTTAATGTGATTTTAGTTTTACGTCTGATTCGCTGAACAGATCTTTACTATACTATCATTTCGTCCGTTCAAGGAAATCTATGAAATAATCAAAACGTTGAGTCGAGTGGAACCCCTCGAGGATAAAGAGTACTTTCTATTTTTGGGTTAGTGAGGAAGATTGGCCCACTGGTAATGTGTAGGTGAGACAGACGTTATCCAGGGGAGATTACTCTAGTGCTTAGGTCTCCCTTGTCCTTTTAGACTCTGTACAAATGGGAGGAAAAGGGGAGTACGAAACGTGTACACTTACAACGATGGCTCTTCGCGCACCCCGTCTCATTTTCCTTTGGACCACAAATCACCACCCGTCTGGGTGGTGATGGCTGGCTTTTAAGCTTTTCAGTTAAGCAGCCTTCTTTTAAAACATGAAGGTCGATTTGGGATTTCCTTTAAGTGTCGGCGTAACTAAGGCTTTATGCAGCACGTTTCACATGAACGCAAAATAAAGATTCTCTCCTCAGTAGTGTTTAGGGGGAAGAGAACTGAGTTGAGCGCGTAACCCAGTTTCTGATCTGTTTGCGGTCTGTTCAATACAGTCCTATCCACAGTTATCTTAAATTGTCCTTTTCCATTTCATTAGAGGCAGATAGACTTTTTTTGAAAGATCTCAGTCAGTTGGTCACAAGTGAATTGAATCAAAGGCTCAAGACTGACGCTACTGCAATGGAAAAAGTCTCCCGTTTTTCCGGTTTAAAAGGTGATCCATTCTCTTTCTCTTTCCTTCCCATTGAACATTTCTTTCCTGACACTACTTTGAGCGTGTTGAAAGAATGCTTTGAGGTCTTAAAATTGAAGGATCTCGCTGAGATTCTAGCAAAAGTGAAACAACGTGCACTTTGTCCTGCGCTGTCTTCGGAGCAAGTTGAAAAATTGCAACTCGGTGATCGTCGCACGAAAAACTAAAGCAACATGGCAGTTGTGGTAGTTGATGTTAGCAGTGAAAAAGACACTGCAAAAGTGATCGAAACATTTTTTAAAGATCTAAACCCAAGAAACGAAGTAGGTGTAATACCATTTACTAATCTGAGAGAGAAGTATCTAGTGCGGGAGAATATAGAGGAGAGGGAGCAGCTGGAGATGTTTGCGGTCGCCAAGGAGAAGGAAATCAGATATCGGTTAGAGATCCAACTTCCTAAAATGAAAAACAGGATTGAGGGGGAAGACCAGGAGAAGAGCAAAAGCCTCGAAGAAGAAAGCGTGCGGAAAGTAGGTGGCCCTCCGTGGATTGATTCACATCTTTCGAGATTGAGGGTGAAATCTATTACAAACCTCAAAGAGGAAGAACTTTTCCTGAGAAAACGACTAGAGACCATAATAGAAGAAATTACGAAACTGAGGGAAGAAATTAAAAGGGGAACTGAGCAGATTGAAGATATTGAAAGGGAGAATAGTGATGCAGAGTTGGCCTCGTGAAATGTTATGAACAAATGGAACTAAGGTTGGTAAATTTGTACAAACTCTAGGAAAAGAATATGGAAAGACGTGTTTTTAAGATCTTTCCGCTCACCTCTTCCTTGTTTGTCTTTGTGTACTTTTTAAATCTCTCCTGTCTATCCCATCGTCAAAAAGTCAGTTTCGGGTGGTCATTTAAAATGTTATTTTTGTGGTGCAATATTTACAAACATTCTCGCTTTCCAAATTTTGCGGAAGTCACTGCGCACAAAATGGCCGCCAAATTAACAAAACCATCTTATCTAGTGGGTAGCTATATTTTTTTTCTGTTGAAAAGGTTGTATGGAAATGTTTTTTGAACTGCGAAATTTTAATCAATTAAAAGATAGAGAGGAAAAATCTGGAATTTTTGTTAAAGCCTGAATTATTTTCATGACTCTTTTTCGCAACTGCTTTAATTGTGTTTATAGCTGCAGTGATCTTGTTTTTTACTACGTGATTCCAATCAAATAGGAGCGTCCCAGGTGTGCTCCTCTGATCATCGTTGATTGCCTTTTCCAACTTATGTGTTTTACACGGGTGTTTGTATATCAATCTTCCTGGATTTGAGGGTTGATAAATACTGTGTGTTGGTTTTAACCACGATAGCTACTCACTTTGTCACGTAGGTTGCATTGCTAACAAACACAGTAGCTGCTCATGCTTGCAAATAATGGGTCATAAACATGCACCTAATTCGATGGATTGACATATAATACGGGAGATATTTGGGAGTTGCATGTTATTTCTCCAAGTAGGGGGCAAGGAAAAACAAGAGCAATTACCGCAATGTTCGGTGTATTATATGTTAAATCATCGAAAAAGGGTATTATTTTCCATTGTCCGATATTTTGGCTTGGAGTCTTTGAATTCCTTCCTTTTTTAAGCCATGATGAATAATTTTGTGCTTGTTTGAGCACAACTTATTGAAATGCCGCAGTCACAGCATTTTGGGTATCCCTGCGTTTTAAGTATCCCCGTACCCAAAATGCTAGCGTTTTCGGTATCCTTTCTGGGGATACTCAAAACGCTAAAAGTGAATTAAACAAGAGGCAGGGACAAGTACGCCTTTTGCTGATCATAATGAGAGAACACGCAGATTTGCATGTAAAGGCGAACAATTGCGTGAGGTTACATTCATTAGTGAGAAAAAAACGATCATTTACGCGTAAATCGGATTCAATAACGATTTTTGCATTTTAATCAGGATTCCATTTACGTTTTTGGGCATTCTTATGCGTCATTTGCCGCACAAAAGGGAAAAATATACTTTCATTTGCGCTAATTTTTAAGTCATTAACACAATCATGAAAGTCAATAGAGACAATATACAAACAGTATAGTGCATAAACCAATTATTAACTTTTTTATTACACTGTTTGCAATTCAAGAGCATTTCTAGACGGCGTAAATATGATTAGGCAGTCATTATTAAATGCGCTTGAACAAACTATTGAGCGTTTCTTACATTCGATATTCAAATATCGAAAATAGCCGTTCCAAATTTATTTTGTTCTGAATTTTAATTTTTCCCTTCAATAATCTATATATTCAAACATCTTGGCAGATATATCTGCATAAAGCAGTACCATTGTGCACTTTTAGCTGCGGTCACGGTGTCAATGTTTCTGTGCAGAGCTTCAAGCAGTTGTTGTGTTCGAAACTCTCCTAATGAGATTCCTCTGGCTTAGGCCTCATCGCTGTTATCTATGCGTCTTTGAATTTCTGGACGCGAGATGTCGGACTTGATCGCCGCCTTTAGACAGCTTATTGCCTGCTCCACGATCTTCAGGGAAAAGGAGGGCTTGCCCCAATCCTGTGGGGATACTCAGAGCGCTAAAAGTAAATAAAACAAGGGATTGGGGCAAGTAATATGGCGTCCAATGTTGAGTCGTGGTGGACTTTCAATACTGATCCCTGAAGTCAGAGAAATTGCTTTCTTAAGTTAGATAGCTCCAGAAATGTCCGTCAGGGTGGTATTTAAGGCAGGAGAGCTATAAAACGTCTTTGAAGCGTTGAGAGTGTCCTAGTCACTCTAAGGTGTTGGTAGAACAGGAACATTCTCCTTACTTCGGTTTTAGTTCGGCCATGATGCATGTACAATTGTATTTGAAAAAAAATGAAACATCTCAATAACAACGAGAAAACATTTGAAATAGGAGCTAACAACATGAGGGTTACTATAAACATTAACTTATGCGGCAAATGACGCATAAGAATGCCTAAAAATGTTATTGATAGCCGCTTAAAATGCGAAAATCGTCATTGATTTACGCGCAAATGATCGGTTTTTTTTGTCGCTAAAGAATGCAACTTCAGGCAATTGTTCGCCTTTTCACGCAAATGGATGTGTATTTTCAGCATCAGATGTACTTACCCCAATCTCTTGTTTAATTTACTGTTAGTGTTCTGAGTATCTCCAGAGGGGATACCAGAAACGTGAACATTTTGGTTACGGGGATACTTAAAATGCGGGGATACCCAAAACGCTGTGACACTTTCAGACTCAATGAAACGTGGTCTTTTCTTTTCATAAGCGACAACTTCTCTAAAGTGTATGGTTAGGCTTCACATTTTGGGCCGCCGCTTACGGAGGTTCGACTGAGTCCGCGGATTCATAATTTTGTATAATTTTGTTGATAATCGTAGGATGATTTCCATGATGTCACTGTTTTTTCTATTTTTGCGCTCTTCTAGTTTATTTCGTTTGTCTTGTTTTGTTTTTCTTTTGTTTGAATTTGTTTTCCTTTATTTTGTTTCTTTTATGATTCAGTGATACGTTTACTGGTCTTCTATTGTGGATGGATCCACCTTCATTGCGTTATTTTTAATCTGTCCTGACAATTGGGCCCATAAAGTTTTTCTCAAACGCCTTCATGAAACAATTGAGGTGAGCTCTCCTAGATGGAAAAGTATCAGTAAAATTCCTGAAACCCTTCATCGATGGAAACTGGTTATAGTTCCTTCCGGAGAAGAGCAGACAACGATTCGCATCTTTTTACTTCGTTCATTGAAATTTTCAAGAAGCGTAGGTCTTCCTTGGACCTTATTTCTATAATGAGAGAATTTAAAAGGACTTGGCCAGATAATTTAGAAGTGAAGGATAATTTGTCTACTCTGCCACGGTTTTAGGAGGTAAACAAAAAGATTGTTGTATAGATCATGGTTTATAATTTTATAATCTTATAATCTTATTATAATCTTATTATATGTATGGATGTATCTTATTATAATCTTACGTCCTTTTTAAATTGCATCCGGTTAATGACTTGTCCATCAACCGTCATCCTCACTGATTTGGCAACGTAAAGGAGGATAGCGGATAAGCATGGTTTCCTTCAGGATGGGCTGTGCGCTTTAATGATATTTTTTTGTACGAGTTTCGTTGCATCTCAATCGCGATATCTCATGAAAAAGAAATGTGCACTAATGTAACTTACAAAAAATACTGGTACCGTATAAAACAAATATTGTTAAGGTCAGTCTTTAGGACATTTTTCAACAAAACAACCAAATACGTGTAAACAGTATTTTTGAGACAAAGGGGACTTAAATTTTCTGCCTCTTCCATGAATTATTTAAGCCACGCTTAGCCCTTATTTGAGTTTCTACAACTCCTTAATGGCAGAATACATCCCAACTGTAAAAGGACGCAGAACAATAGGTTTCTGTTTCCGCCCACAACCAGCTCGAGAATAACAGGTGCTTGTGCTTAAAACCACTTTAAGCGATGTTTTTACCAGGATGTGAAAACTTGTTTACTCATTCACAAGTGTGCAGCTCAAATGAAGTTTTAACTGTGGTAAAGGCAGCTTGAATTTTTTGAAATGATAGTTTGAAGTCATGGGTACTTAATTTACTAGGAAGGTCCAGCCAACGGGTCAACTTCCGTGAAATATATTCGATGATCGCACAAACAAACATTGTCTTCTAGAGAAGTGAACATAATACTTTTTCTTGCACGAAAGCTAATGAAAAAACATTCAGTATTATGTTTACTTGTACGAAAAATAAAGAAAACATTATTCATTAGAAAGTGGTTTTTGTGGTTATCATGTTCAAACTTACAACTTCTATCCTTTTGCAGAAAACTCTCACCTTGGGAAACGAATTCTAAGAGACTGAGGTGTCCAAAATCTTTCCTCTCCACCCTTGCTACCAATCCAGTCCCTGAGCTGTGTTAAAGTACTAGCCTGGACGTTAAGCTTCCTGCGCTTTAAGGCGAGTTAGGCCCACTCTCAAGCAAAAACCTAGGGATCAAGTGTTAATGGTGTTTAATGCACCCAATGCAAAACAGAGCGTAACAAAATTGAGCAAACCTAAGAAGTCCCGTTTGACTTAACAACACACTTAACCTACCATGAATTACGTTCTGGCTGGATTTTGATTCATCAAGGTGGACAAGTTTGATGTACCATGTAAGCAATGCCTGATGTGTT